TAATAATAATATAATAAAATTTATAATAAAATAAATAAATAAATAATAATTTATTTAAAATTTATTTTAACGTATATATATTATATTATATAATACCGGTTAAAATTTTATCTTTAAAACTTATATAATTTAAATATATAAAATTCTTAATTATTACATAATTAATACATATTAAATAAACATTATATAAAATTTAATTCATTATATTATTAATAATTTAATTAATTAAAATAAAATCGTAAAAACGCATATTATATTACTATTTTACATAAGATTAAAGATTTTCAAATCACTTAACATGGCTGACTAATCTGACAGGTGATATATCGGACTATTTTACGTAAAAGTGGATATGCTGTACGTTTAGTGGATTTTTACTGTACGTTTAAAGTTACTGCTTAAAGTCAAAAGCAATATTAAAATCATCTGCATACGAAGAATCAAAAAGAGGTACATGCGTACTTCCCAACATAACTCTACCTAGGAATCAGTAGACCATGACCTTCGATTTAAAAAGTACTTCGGGATCAGTACAAATCAGATTCTAATCAGACCGTCCACCTAAATAGTATATATATTTAGTCACTCCCTCCTTACTCTCACATCCTTCTCCCATCTTTTTCATCGACCTTCACTTTACAACCTAAACTCATCACCAATCTTTTCGAATATTCAACCTTTACTAATGCTATCTTCCCATATCTACCTCCTAATCTTATATATCTGTCGCCAACACATGATATCCAGTTACCTCTATTTACAAACCCATCTTAACTAGTTTTTTATTTGTTCACATGTATTGCCGACCACCTCCAAATCCTATCCATCCATCTCCTTCTATCGAATATTTTATGACTAAATATTATATTATTTTCAACCTTCATCTAATTAATCCAATCTTTACTCTATTTTCTCATTCTACCAACTGCTCCAAATTGTACCTACTACCTTTTCTACCTCCTCTCTACGGATTGCCTTTCTCCTTTTCAGATATAACATTTTTGCACCGTTATATCTACAATTATCCATCGTTTACTTCTAATCTATCACCTTATTTCTTCCCTTTCTTGCGCTTGCCCCTCCACCACTAGGCAATCCCCTCCAACCCCCCACCTCTACCGATTACTCCCACGACCTTCGCCTTAGCCTTTCCACCTATTTTAGATATAATATACTACCTGGATACTTACTCTGACCTTCTACTACTACTAACCTATCTCTATTCGCTCTAGGACTCTAGGATTAACCCGGACACCACCCTCCAGCGACAACTGAGACTGCTATTCCACCGACCGACGAGGAACATAGCCGCCTCCCGGCCCGTGAGCGATATACGAATGTCGGCTAGAAGACTAGCGTCGGCTGGCCCTTTATATCTGCAACAGGTCGACTGTTTACTGGGAAGTTAGAGATCGAGCTCTGACCTGCTCATGTCATTCGCTTCACTCTTTCACACGGAATAAAATGGGAAGTGCCTATCTAGGTAAATGCAGTGGAACTCTGACCATAGTTCTAGTTTGCTAAAGCTGAACCTCCCGACATTTATCTCTATTGAGATAGACAATGAGATGATGTACAATGGTAAAAGGAGAATTGCCTCTTTTGGTTGCTTTATCTTGGAATAAGAGTGTTAGTTTTGAATAGTAATACCTAGGTAGTTGTTAATTCTACAAGAACCTAAATATATCCTCAGCCAATATCCAGATCTGTTTGCGACTGCGTAGTCCTGTATAGGCTGTAGAGGTTCCAGTAGGGGTTTCTCTGCGTTCCATATGCTCAAACCCTCCTGACTAGACTCATGGACGAGAAACTCTAGGTAGCTATTATCATGCTCCCACTGTGCACAGAAGACATTTACAACAGTGTCGTCAAGTCCTGATATAAAAGGTAAAATTTAACGCGTAGGAATATTTTACGCCACATCCACTGTGGTGATAACCCATTATATCCGCTCAAAATCCCACTCTGTGATATTAAGTACGAGCACGCATGGTCCGCAGCTCAGATGCTAGCGCCATAAATAGGGGTTGGATTGAAACAGCCTGCGGGACGGACTGTTGCCGGCGCAGGTAGTAAGCTCTCGAGTTTGTCGAGGATTGCCGAGGTCAGCTCTGGTGCGAATAGAGGATTAATCCTAGCTACATCCGCAACTAGCTAACCGAAACTGCGAGGGTCATGTTAAGTATACGTACCCACCACTCGTCCCCGTTTACAGGGTCAATACCTACTGTAAGTTCGTTACCCGGTGAAAAGACAGGGGGCTGCAAATGTTAGTATATAGCAGTGATGAGGTAGCTGAGTTCTTGAGAGTATAAGTTCTGATCTCGCGGATATTACTGAAGTCAAAAGTACCTAGTCAGCATGTACGTGCGCGACTCGTCTCGATCCCGCGCGAAATACGCAAGTCTAGCGATGTAGCGCCCCCCTTTTTTCTCCCAATCGTGAGGTAGGAGGCAGAAAATCAACGTCATACTTTTTTTGTGATCAAAGCCCGACCCCGACGTGGTTTTGCCCGTAGTCCCTATATCGTCATTCCCCCATATCTTGAATTTGAATAGATAAAGGCTGTTTTATGTCGATATCGGATTGAGGTTGTGGCCCGGTCGAATATTGTCTATCATGCCGCGGGCCGGAGTGATTGAGGCGTCAAGTCTAAAAAGGGGTTACCACTATAGTACTACCACACTTGAATTCAAGCAAGCCAATCATGGTAGGAAGCCATCCACCTTGCGATTTGGTACTTATACACCAACTTGATCATTTAAAGTTACATTTATACAAAGAATTAGAACGGGGAAATTATCGGTACAGTGTTTCACGATATGTCTGTCTTCCTAATTTTTGGGTATTTTATAAGAGGATTTAATATTTACTCAACCATATGGTGTGGGCAGAGCCGTTAATGTCAATATTGAATAAGCCTAGGGCAGTGTGAAGGCATTTGTAAATATCTAGACAGTGAAAACAGCGGTATACAAGTTGTATGGGTAACTGTCACGGTTAGGAGTCACGGTCTTCAGCCTTTGTGTATATATACAGACCTTGCAACAAATCTGCAAGGATCTAATGTTCTAGGTTCCCCAGAACGTCATGTTCATTCAATGGCACCTTTTGGTTTCAGCCTCGTGATAGTAGCTTTAGGTAATCAAATGACTGATCTTCGTGGGAAAAGGTAGAAGCATGGTAGGATATTTGACGATAGTCTATCAGCTATTATTTCAACGGTGTTTGCCAACAGATCTCCTAAGACGTAACTAATGTTTTTATGGGTTGTTTAAAACTAAGATGTTGTAGTAGAACTATATAACGCCATGATAACTGAGCCGGTATTACAATTTCTCTTCGGTAACAAAGTTGTTGACACAACGATTATTTGAAAACGATATGCCTCCTTCATTTTTCATCCTCTTCACCAACCATCACGAGATACTCATCAGAAAGTAGCATATCCCGTAATTTTATTCAATTCCCATAACACCCGTCACCAATCTCAGCAATCCTTTCTGTATCACCACACATATACTCCAAGATGTGTCACTGCGACATGACCGAAATGAAGTGTCCGATGTGCGGGAACATATCGCACTACTACAGAAACTATGATCCCTGTGACAATAAATTTGCGTGCACTAAGTTTTGTCCAAATTTAGATGTCAATTACTTGGGATCAAGGGTCGTAGACTGTGATAAATGCACCGTACTTTGGGACATCTTCACTAACATACACCACATGTATGATCAAATAGAAGAAGGCGTGGAAACAGAGAAAGAAATGCAAGAGGAATATCAGCAACAGCTGTTGAAGGAGAAGCTTCAGCAAGAACGAGGGGAAAGTGAGCTGGAGTTAGAAGAACCGAAGAAATAAGTCTAAGGGGGTGATGCAAGGGCTTAGAATTGCAAGAACCTGAACCTGATTTCGGTGGTTCTGCCGTAGTTTGCCGTAAGTAATATGCTGTCTAGAGTAGATTAAATAGTAGCCTAATACACGATGAGCTTACTATCTAAGTATTTGTTTTTTTGTGAAGGTTCAATCAACCTGTTTTTTCCTTTGAGTAAATCTATGTCCGTTTTTAAATGGTAAGACGGTTGAAGGTTGGAGTTGACTTGTTGCTATCTGATATACAAAGACGAAGTAATGAGTATTCGGATGCAACCTCGAACTCGATTGGCTGAAATTTGGCTGCTTATTTAGTCCTATTGGCCTTGTTCTATACATTATAGCGAGGGTAGAGACTGCGGCCAATTAAAAATCAAGAAGGTTTATCCATGTACTATTATGTGGTACGATACCCTTGCACTGTGGGATCTGACAGGCAGGGCACTTATAACACTAACCTAGGCTATTGTTGGAGTGTGAGCTGACACAGCTTACTAACCCAATGTTGGTGAAGTCCGAAATAAATATCAAATCCCAGCATTTTAATTGGCTAGCAGGAACATTCTGACGAGGAATCCTGATCCTTTCGCTCCCTTCCGCTCCCTTCCGCTTACGATCCGCTATAGACGCGGATACGGAGTTTTTGACAATGCCATCAATTATCCACTATCTACTACTTGACCACATTCTTTAAATAGCCCCCCCCCTCACATAGACCATCCTCTTTCGCTACATAATATATTGCTGTTGCTAGTACCTATACCACATACCACATACCTAGGTACGCATCATGGCCGCCAACCGTGAAGATACGACCTTACATCTGCCGCGCATCCTCTGTCTGCATGGCGGCGGAACCAATGCTCGTATCTTTAGGGCTCAATGCCGCGTAGTGTCACGGACGCTAGAGCCTTATTTCCGCATGGTTTATGCCGAGGCGCCTTACGAATCTGGCGCCGGCCCGGACGTGCTTTCGGTCTATGCAGAGCACGGTCCATTCAAAAGGTGGCTCCGCTGGCTTCCCGAACATCCGGAATTAGAAGACGAAAATGCGGTTGCAGACATTAACGCCTCTCTAAAAGATGCTATGGATGCTGATGACCAAGCGGGCGCCACCGGCCCCTGGGTTGGGCTTCTTGGATTTAGCCAGGGTGCCAAGATTGCCGCAAGCATATTATATCGGCAACAGATCCGATCCGAGAAGCTAGGGTCGGCGCAGGCCGGTTCGGACTGGAAGTTCGCCGTTCTCATGGCCGGACGGGCGCCTATAGTGAACCTAGACCCCGAAGTATTCAAGTCATCCATGCTAAGCGAGGCGTCGCAGGTCGGCCTCACAGGTGCACCAGACTTAATGGAAATGATGAGCGGGAACCACATCTTGAAGCTTCCGACCATCCACGTTCACGGACTGAGCGACCCGGGTTTGAATCTGCATCGCGAATTATTGGAAGAGTACTGCGATCCAGGGACTGCTAGATTGATTGAGTGGGATGGTACGCATAGGGTGCCTCTCAAAGGAGCTGACGTGCAGCCGTTGGTAGAGCAGATATTAGATGTCGCAAGAAAGGAGGGTGCCTTGAAACGTTGATAGATCTCCTTGTTGCAATTCTGGGTACGGTGCAAGGGCGGCTATGAAATTTCATAATTTTAAGAAGAGGATTGATTTCATACCATACAATTAATTGGAATAGAGGGGATATCATCCGAAGATTGAGACTGCCACCAGAGTAGACTTAGACAAACCAACACCAACAGTCAGTGGACATGGGATATGACACATAGAGGCAACATGAAAACATTATGATTGACTACACATGACTTGCCTGTGTAATGACTGTAGGCCCCCCTTCGATGGCATGTACTCACATTACAGCGAAATGTACGTAATTCCCCCCTATAAAATGTCGACTAATAAGGAATTCACCAAATGCAAACTCAAACATCTGCTTTTAGGGACATAGCAGATGACGCACCTGGACATGTCGGATGAAGAAGGCATTGTTTTTAGATGCCGAGAGCCTGCCTGTATCTCCACGTCTTTCAAGCTAGAAGTTAAACGATATTGACGTATGAGATATTAGCATCGGTGTTGGGGATACGGTCATCATACTCGTCACATATACACTAAGCCAAGCTTCATACATGATGTGGTTCTACGTTGGATACCATGGACGTTTTACTATATAAACATGTCTAGATCCGGAACTCTCCTGCCTTGCTTTATGTCCGCCTTACACACACAATAAGTACTACTTTGCTTGCCAACAGGTACCTTCACCCCTTTCGCCTTATCGACAATAAAACTTCTCGACTTGACATCTAGCCAAGATGATGTTTTCAGGCGCGCCCTCCACTATCGAGGACATAGCAGGCCTCAATATCGTTCTGGAAGATATTAATGATCTTGAAACCGAAGTCAACGATAAAATCATCGAGGACGAGATCCTATCTAGCAAGAAGAGGGAAATGTATGATCAATACTGCGAATACATAGTCGATACCTACAAGAAGCTCAAGAAAGCCGAAGATTTGAAAGTCTTCCAGGGCAGAGATGAACAAGAGAGAATCCAAGCTGGAATCAGAACGCTGGAGTCGGTGGAGTCCAAGATCCAGTATGCATTGGAACGAAGCGATGCGCTCGAAGAGTCCGATTAGGATCAGGATCGAGGCCAAGTAGGAGAAGGGCAGGAGTTTCTTTGGGCCAAATAAATGGAGTTGGGTACATTAATACCCTACGCGTCCAGGCTGGTCTAGCCAGACAAAATCACACTGTTTTTCCGTTGATTGTTTTACGCTGATTTTCCCACTGGGCCACTGGGCCACTGCGGTCTTTTATCATAGCTTGGAAGAGGTTATCATGCTTCCCTGATACCGTCAACTACGAATACTTATTATTAAATATATTTTCACTACTAAATCATGCAGAGAAACTGTTTATTACGGTGATATTGCGACACTGTAGGCCAATTTATATACTATAAGTTAACTGAGGTTGGTATATTTACTATCAGGATATTAAGTATCGGAGTGTGGTATGATAACTTCTATTACCCAAAATAGGGGTCGCATCACACTAACGGATATGCACCTGCAATTGAGTATCTTCAAGGTCTTAGATGTTTCTCAATTCATCGAAACTTAGCTATTATATGCGTATATTCATAAGCCACCATCACCTTAATGCGCAAATCGGAAATCCAACCGCTTATTACCCTCGTCAGTTGTCGTCGACAGATACTCTAATTTCTCCTCCGCAGTCATAGCATTCCATTTTCTATCCCTATACCTATTCCTGAGAACGTAGTACACCTTAGTGAGGATGTATATGCCAATATTTCCGGCAAGAATAGCTATGAGTTGTCGATTACCCCGGCGGTAGAGTGGCGCGTCGTCTGCCCGATAGATATTCGATGCTATGATCCCGCCGGCCTGGCAGAACATGTTGTAGCATGCAGCCGAGACCGTACGAGATCTCACGGTGTTGGAATTCCGGGAGTTCCACGCGACTTGAATAGCATGGGCTAATCATCGATCGTCAGCACATTCTCGAGAATACAGGACAGGGGTTCGGAACGACGTACCATTCGGGTACGCTAGTAAGAGCGTTGTCACGGTCCAGATGACCCATCTACTGGCGCTTGCCGTATCGGCCACATTGAGATATATCAAAAAAGGCAGGATCCATAATTGCCCAATCATTGCAACAAAAGTGAGTTCCCCGAAGATTTCAGCTGCGTACGTATTTGCAAGCATCGTAAAGACTATATCATGCATTTAGCGGATTTATATCATCATAAAGGGTACTCGGGTTTCCTTACTATGGATCACCGTATACGGAATAGACAACAGATTTGACGTGAAGGTGTCAAACTTCATCTGCCGGAGTGAGAGTGTCAAGTACTGCTGTTCTGGGACGGAGGGGATCTGGAAGGTAAGTCCGATGATGTACAGCGGCCAAAGATCGAAATCCTTGAGGCATTTCCATAACAGCTTCGGAGTTATAGGCTGGCGATTGTGCATACCGCTCTTGCTCGGGTCTTCTCGAAGCACTCGATTGACGATGATAGTCTCCTCCCGGGGTGTAAACCAACCTTTTTTCCCTCGAAACCAGCTAGCTGTCTGACAGGGGCCAGCCGGCATCAGGACGAATGAGAACAACCCTACGATCAGGGTTATCAAAGCCTCCAGTAAGAACAACCAGCGCCAGCCAGAATACCCGAGAACTCCTCTCATCTTCAGAAGACCGGCGCCGATGAGCGCCGAGAGGATGTCGGCGACGCTCATCATAGTCCAGAAAAACCCGAGGCGGATGGTCAGTTCGTGGTGTTTGTAGAAGTATGAGAGGTATAGGATAACCTAGATACAAACAGTCAGCATCAACTTAGTTGAAGATCTTGGATGCTGGGCTACTCACATCAGGGATGAATCCTCCCTGGATTATTCCTAGTAGAGCCCGCGTTGCCAAAAACGAGCTCCGACCCGAGAGCCAGAATTGGCCCCCAGCCGCGATGGACCACAGAACCATCTGAGTCGGAATCCATCGATCAGGCCCCATCCACTTAGACACAAGCTGGGAGGGTAGTTCCGCAACCAAGAATGATAACTTGAACACGCTGTTTCCGAGATTGTAGTCTATAAACTCATAAGCTCGGTGGATATGAGTGCGATCCCATAGACCAGACTCACCGTTCGTGGACAAATGAAGATCGTTAAGAAAGTCGTCCGTCAGGGCTTGTGATATATTCGCTCTGTCCAACTCGAGCGCCATGAACATGACGCAAGCCCATATCATAATTCTCCAGTCTATCTTCCGGACAATCGCATATTCCTCCGCCCACGTCCACCGTGCTTTCGGATCGAAACGGTGAACGTTTTCCCTATTGCCGGATGAGATTCCGCCAAGTTTTGCAAAGTCAGTGTAACATACCAGTCATCGTGGGGTTGGTATTTCTCTACCGTCTGGGGATCGTCAAATACACTAGGCTATACACATGTATCCGTTAGTAACTTCCGTAGACGTTATGTTTGGTGTGTGAAATTATTACTTGTGTCGCGATCGCGTTGATGTCGAAGTCTTTGGTACGTTGAAACCAAAAGCGCCTCTCTTGCTTCGGTGCTCCCAATGGCGGTACGCCGTCACTATCGAGCGAGATAGTTGACTCTGTAGGCGTCTTTTTGTCTCCAACAGCCTGGACGAGAACGGTTGCCATTTTGGCGCAGCGTTCGCTTAAGAAAGTGAAGTTGGCCGATCTTATCAAAACAATCCCAGCACCTCGGGACTGGCGACTTATATACGCCTAGTAAGGGGCTGGAAGGAGGGTACCACGACGCTGGTAGAATGGTATCATTGATAATGATAATTAGCTATGCACTACCCTATGTACTACCACCAGCTAGGGATCTGGCTCAGGGTCCCCGGGCGTGGGGGGTGCCAGGTCTGGACCTGGAAACTAGTTTTCTAAATATCTCTAGCACACTCAAATATCTAGGTAGAGACTTATAACATGTTCTTCCTTATCCAGGATGTTGACCCTCCTCACATGGGAGATGATGCCATTCTATATGCAGTGATGGACATTGCAGAACGCCTTAGTATCACGGATATAGCTCGCCATATCCGATGCTACGGTCTCCAATGAAACTATAGTGTTTAAATCCTGCAGGTACAAGTAGGTAATGTAGCTAAGGATGTCATGTAGCTGCTATATACAATTTAATCTTCACCGGCATGTAAGTCGTCAACGTCAAGATATTTATCGACTAATTTGTCATATTCAATCGCAATAGAAGCACTACGTTAGAGGAAGTAAATACTTGGAAAAGCAAAAATTCCGCAAAGCTATGTAAACTGTGCTCTGGTAAGATTGATGATGACAATTGGAGATGGAATGTCGCGATGTGTCGCCATCGGGTCTTTTTCCGATTATCAGTTATTGCTCAACTCTGATTGGCTCCATCGTGGAACTGGTGTGTTGGTACTCATCCTAGCACCGAAAGAAATTCGGTAACTTTCCATCTCAGCACAATATTTCTGATAACAATTTCAAATCCAGTATTAAGTTTCCTATCCATTAAGTTAGTCCATACTTATTCATTCTCAAGCGTCGACAAGGTACGCGATCAGTCGTGGTTTAGACCCACAGCTCCACCTAACTCCGTTGCTCAATTAGGACGCAAGTAACGCTTGATGAAAGTCTGTTGATTTTCGATAGACAGTTAAAGCGAAGAGCTAAAACACATTAAAAACTACTAGGCCAGTTTATCCTAACCTACTTCTATAGCTAAGCCTTCTGGGTACTAGACTTTCGATGAGCCGTGGGGTGATGATATGAGAAGTTCCAGCCAGACCTAACTTTGAAAATTCCGATATGTTGCCTACTAGCTAGAGGCTAGATAATTCAGCTCCTGATAGATTAACGCAACCTGGGCTCGTGAAAATAAAATATTGACATATATCTTTATCTAAGCTTCAGAATGCCTCATTAAAACAATTTAGTTAGATAGGCACAAACCAACTCTCAATATTTATATCTATACTTTACGTACAACTCTAGTGGAGGTAGAAGATGTGTGTGTTTCGCCAGATACGGCATGATGCGAACCAGGAGCGGAAGGCAACTATTTTATCCAAGTATCTAAAAGACGCCAAGAAATCAAGTCTTATATTGTTTTACAATAACGATGATGATAATCAAGGTACTCACGTAACTCTATGCAAATAATATCTCTAGTATAAGGGGTATGCGGAACGGAAAGTAAAACGTTAAATACTTATCATTACCGCGTTTTGGTCACCTTTTTACGTTAAAGGGGAAAATAGTTACTGCTATCCGTAGTACCTAGGGGCAGTTGGGAGGTTGCTGGGTGAGAGGTTGACAGGTGTTATCTAGGTGGCAGGTCGGAATAACTAAGGCGGGGGAAACGTCTTGACGGGCAGAAGGTTATAATGCGTAATAAGTACAAATGATTCCGGAGCATACAAGCGAGGCCCCCAGCTTGTACCTTGTGTCCTTGCTGTGCGTAGGTTAGAGGGCAATTATCCCTCGATGATGTCTACCGGGATGACAAATACCACGGTGTTTGGGATGGGTTCCGCGAGGTCTACCGAAACTGACCGGCCCGATCTCTGGATGGGAGTGCTCCCTCCCGTCGGCTTCTGGAGATAGTCTTTTTGCTATTTCTTCTAAACCTCGAGCTTCTGTTTTAGTAATTAAGTCGCGATTGCAGCCGGCGAAGGCGTAGACAGATCCATCTGCGGGCATGTGTGCTCTGGTTCGACACGGGGTACATGCTGGCGGCGGCAGTGCGCTTTGAATGTTTGGCTCAATGGTTATTAGGTAGACTACAAATGAATTTTCAAATATGCAGAGGTAGCCAACTTTTCGAAGTCAACAGTTCAAACTGGAATCGAAAATTCTTCTTTTTTACTTTTTAAGGGAAGCAACATGATTCCAACAAAACAAAAACGTCATAATCCATCCCTACAAGTTTCGAGGTTCAATTTGAAACCAAGTTTGATAAGGTTGACCAAAACTTTCGTCTCATCATATAACCAGTTACGTTTCTAGGTACTTAAGGTATACGGTTTTCTCAACAAGCACCGAGTCACATAGTCAGCCCTGGAATATGTTGGCTTGGGTAGTTTAACGTGATTAGGTAGTCTTGTTCTTGAAAGGATTTCCTAAATTTGAAATGCAAAACATCAATCACTTGGATACTGCTGATATATTAGACACATAAGGCCGTAATTAAGCTGAATGCCTACCATGTATTCCGTCTTATCTTTCGTATGTCACTCTTCGTTTGAAAATTCCCTATCAATATCCATACTTACCTACCTACCAAAAGGCCATCAACTACATAAATTGCTGGTTTATCTAATTAGACATCGATATGCATGCCATAACATCTAAGCGATTGACAGCAAGTCTGTTTTTGTTATGGATAAACTTGATACTATAAAACAATTAACAGTGATTTTATCGCAGTTAGACTTCAAGGCATTTGATAACTTCGTTTCGAAAACAAGGTTACGGTTCCCAAGGTGGAACATTCATGGTGGAACGCAAATGGTGAATATGCTACACGTTGTTTCGGATGAGACATTGTATATCGTTACGTCTTGAAGCTGTGTAGTGAATTAGCAGCTTGAAATGCGTCCAGTTCGAATGGCGAACCTATCTGTAACTTGAACAGGCCACAAGCAAACATTGTACTTGATGCTGTCATCCATCTGGTATTGTAACGCAGCATTTATTTAAACATGCCCACACCCGATATCTCTACCTCCTATAAGCATCCACTTTTTAAACCAAACCATCCACACGAACTTCTTGTTTCCCTAACAAGTTGCGGATAGGCAAACCAAAATCAACACAAAACCAACTTCGACTACGGCAGTTTCCACCATGGACAAGATTGACAAGCTACCTGACATCATCATTATAGATGAAGAGGATATTGATGACCTGGTTGAGGCGATTTCAAAGCTCGAGTGCGACCTTATGGCCTACCCCGGCAATCGTGGTCCTTTATCCTCGGAGGAAGAAAACGCTGTTGACGGACATCTCTATGTCATTGGACTTGCACACAATTCTCTCATGGACGCTAAAACGCAGGAAGAGAAAAAGGCCAGCCCTAGCTGCACTAGTTTGCTAAAGATCGAGCTCGCCTGTAAAAAGTTGAAGGTCATAGAAATACATTTCGAAAAAATCAAAGGTTGGAATTCCAGAGTCAAGGCGGCGCTGGGTATAGATTAAGGGAATACATATCGGGGAGTGGCTACCTTTTATTCTTACAAATCTGTCGTATTCGAAGGGGTTGGGACTTTGATATTTATATTCATCTAAAAGACGTTGAATACTAAGCCAACCGAAATCCTCCTAGATAATAGAATAAAGACTGCGGGTCAATTAAAACTAGGCCTCTCCATTATCATCCAACGCCCTTACCGTGAGCATGTCGTCGATGTCTCGAAGAACCCTGGTCGCCGGACCGGCCTTCTTAGTGCCATTCATGTCGGATAGCCTAACCGCCTCCGACCTCTCAGTATTTCCCGAAGCATTGAGGTACGATCCAGAGCTCCCCGAGTTTCCACCTTTCTTTTTTATAAATCCCTTTAGAACCGGCCACAGAGTAGGTATGTTACCGGCGATAATTATGACGTGCATCTAAAACATATTAGTATGATATAAGATAGAACTTGGCGCCATTATTTAGGGGTTCTCTCCGTACCTCGCACCTATTCCAAGTTAGTTAGCTCCTCAAACGAAGACTGGGCATTTACAACTTACAGATACCATATCGCGATGCTGCTCCAAGTCCACGTTATGTCGTTATGGTTCCCTAGATTCTTGGTACGCATAAAATAGATCTTAGCAATAGTAGCTCCGGTAGCACTGCGCAACTTTTAGTCAACCTGAAAAGGCAGTAATGTATCAGAGGTACTTACAATATGCTACCCCCCATCAAGCAGCAGAGGCTTATCTTCATCTTGCGGCTGATGTTGAGTTGAGTTATTATAATCGACGGGAAAACGGCTAGGACAATATCCATGAATGCCGTGTATGCCGATGGGATGATGCCGCTATAAGAGCTAGAGGATGATTTAGTAAGTAGCTATTCCTATCGATGGATCAATGCTACGTACTGGAGTACGGGGCTTATACAGCTCCCTTTAACTCCAGGGTTCCATTGCTTCTCGATGGGGATGCAGAAACGAAGGAGGACGACTATTGCGATAAAGTTTGCAATAACTAAGATGCCACCTAACGTCCAGAGGCAGGCTAGATGTAGTCGCGTAGCAGCAACTCCAATTAGTCGAGTTAGAAATATCAGGATAGAGATCTTGCTAAGCGTCGCCGATACAAGAGAAAACGAAGGTGCTAGAATGGTATATTTTATTGCCATCTGTCTGCTGTAAGGGTCGGTGATATTTTCGATGTGCCTACCGAGTCCGTAATGAACAGCAGTCGTAACGAATGCCGAGCAGATAATCGCGAATATCTATTTTAGACCACAGTTAGATTTGCCGCGCAGCTCAGATGATGAAACCTACGGCAGCTAAAGTCATGAAGATATCATCCCAGCTGGCTCGGTCGATTATCACTGCGAGAACAAAGATTAACCAACGTCTTCTTCGTGTTGAGAGCTCCGATGGATTGGAAGATGGGTAGATTTGTAGGGTAACCGAACAGACGTATTGTGGTAGCCAGCTTACCCTTTCTGATCCAAAGCCTTGCAGCACAAAAAACAATAACCAATGATCCGAGACCCCAGGCCAGGGCAATCAGTATAGGCGAGTTACTATATGTGGCCATTCCCTCATTTCCTTTATCAGGGCAATACGGATAACCGGTTGAAGTTTTGATGAGTGTAGAGAGAATGGGATGGTGGTAAACGAAAGTTTTGCTGGCTATCCCCAAAGGTTATTATGAAATAGTAGATAGGGTTATAAAGTGACGTAGGCTGTGGGAGACATGTTTTCTTAATTGAAGCCATGCGATCTTTTAGATATAAACCTCGTCAGGAAGGCCTTCCAATCATTAGCTAGGATATCATAGGGCTACTCAATAAGCCCCCCCCCCCCATTATTTGGAGTGCGTGCCTCAATAAAGTCAGATACCAGACCTGGGACCCTACCTCTCATTTTGTGCTATACAGTATCCCTAAAAGTTCATCCGTTTATCCAGGAGAGGCGTATCGCACGAAAGGGAGTATCATCTATTATAAGCACTGGTCAAGATCTAGTAATTATTAACGTACGTGTGAACCTTATCTAATTTTCACCAACTTTATTTGGGGTAGCATCCATTCAGGATTTAAGACGGCCTTACAGAAGATTATGTGGATATTATTTAAAATAGCGATGGCACTGTACTCGGATGACGATGATCGTGCTCCAGTATGACGATAACATCGAGGATTTTCACTCTGCTAGCCTCGTACGGCGAGATAGTACATATATTAGAGAGGCCATCCTAGGATGGTGTGCTAGGGTTATCCTAAGATATCAATGATGCCGGAACGAGGTTTTCTTTTTTGTTCCTTCTTTTCTAACTTTTTTCTCTTGCTTCTAGTCTCGACTAGGTAGTATACTATGGCGAGACTCGTAAATTCTCACAGTAGCTTTGTATTTATAGTGTTTTATTAGCGGAAAGTTTTTTTGAGTAGGATTTGTGATAGAAATTACTTGACAGACCGTTTGAGAAAGTATACTACCGCGGAGGCTACCTAGAGGACTACTAGGGGACGGCGAGATGGGGAGGCTTTGTATAACCTCAGGGGTAAACCGACATCAAAGAGGAGGCAGTCTGTCGTGATACGATAGGGGTGCCCCGTAATGTAGCCGTCAGACACCAAGCCTACCTTATAAGGAGGCTATGCCACCCCGTATTCTTGGAAGGTGTGAGTCAATATTACTAACAATTATACTTGTGCGTATGCCAAGTGCAGGCAAAATTAACTTTGGTTCACAGCTAATTCCTCACACCCGTGATAGGTTGATATCACCTGTCACGATTTTTCTATCAAGGATGATGGTGCTTGTGGTATAGGAGCTGATTCGCTTCCATCGAACCGTTGTGAACCTACGCTGCTTTCATACATAAAGACATCCCTCTAAGCGACCAGTATTACGCATAGGGTGGGGTTGGTAGATGATACTAAAAGCAGACTCGAGAACCCAGCACCGACGTCTACCATGGTCAGGTCAGGGGATTTCCTCCAGTCGTAGCCTTCTAATTTAAATACAGAACTACGTTCTAGTACAATATCAGTGGCATTATACAGCACGGAAGACCCCTTTGTCTATATATCATCATTTAGAAGACGACTCTCAGTCCTTTATATTTCCATTGACTCTTTTTAGGCCCAAGTGCAACTATTCTCCTATTCTCCTAGCACTACATATTACATATTATAATCAATATGCTTCCAGAATCTGAGAGGCTCGAAGCCCTTGAAATCGCTTCTGCGATCACCAAGACGCTATCAGGAAAGCCTGGATCAGATCTCTCCGAATCGTCACGAATAGACGCTTTAGAGGCGGTACGGAAGCTTCAGAACACCTTAGAGAAACCAGGGGATGGGATGCTGAAAGCTGCGTTCGCTGTAAGGTTGATCCCTGCAAATTTAAGTTCAAGGTTAATCAAATTCGGCACAGCCGATGGTCTGGATGTGCATTCGAACTTGTCTTCAGTTGAACGTATTCCGTATGCTCGAAAGGCAGGATGTAGTGTCAGCAGAGCAGATAGCCAAGGAAAACGGCGCCGATGAAAGATTGATCCGTACGTATCGCAAAAACTCTTGTCTGCGCATGTTAACCATAGAACAGGACGACTTCTACGCATACTAACAGCAGCAGGCTACGTTGCCGAAAAGGGTAACGGCCTATACGGATCGACGAAGTGGTCAAGTCACCTAAGCCAGAGAACCAGCGAGGGCATGGTAAAACACTTGTAAGTGAAATCCTGCCAAAACTAGCATATGCTGCTTGCTGATTGTTGGAAGATTCGATTTCTGTACACCAGCTGCGGTTGAAGCACCTAGCTGGTTCAAAAGGGCAGGGTATCAACTCCCTACAGATCCGGCAAAGGGCATTATCCAGGCCACGCATGGCTTTGAAGAGCCTCTCTTCACTTGGTTCACGAGGCCAGAGGCAAAAGAAACATGGGACAACGCAAATACGTTTTTTGAAGGCGACCGAGGCAGCAGCCCGTCTTGGGTTTCTTGGTTCCCAGTAAAGGAGAAGTTACTCGAGGGTTATAACAAGGATCTGCCCGTGCTCGTGGACGTTGGTGGCGGCCGTGGGCATGACGTTGTAGAATTCTACAAGAGGTTTCCAGACGTGGAGGGAGAGCTCATCCTACAAGATCAGCAACTTGTGCTTGATAGTTCCGTCGCTGATTTACCCGCTACGGTTAAAAAATACCCCGTCGACTTCTTCAAAGAAGCCCCTGTAAAAGGTAGAATTGTTACGTCCCACCTGAAAAGACCCCAGGAGCTACATTGCTAATTACCCTAGGCGCCCGTATCTACTATATGAAGTATGTCTTACACGACTGGCAAGACGATGCATGCGTTCAGATATTGAAAAATGTCGCAGCTGCCATGACGAAAGGATACTCGTATCTTGTTATCAACGATATGATTTTGCCTGAAGAAGGTTGTCATCTTTTTCCAGCACAGTGGGATATTTTATTGTTTCTTGTCATTTCATCTCAAGAAAGGGTAGCGAGTCAATGGAAGGACCTCTTGCCTGCTGCCGGATTGGCAATCGAAGGTCTGTATCAACCGCCGGGTGAAGGGCTAGGTATCATCGTGGCCACACTCAAATAAAGTAGTAGCAGACCCCGTACTAATAGTTAATGTGACTTGGTCGAGGTGGCGATCTATAAGATTTTGCGGACACACTAGGGTTTGCATATATCGTATGCATCATTCTTATTAGCTACAAGTCTCGGTCTCAAACTAAGAATTAGTACGCGTAGTCATGAACCTAGGTTAGCATACTCCGTCGGGAATACCTCCGGGAAGAATATTTAAACCCGGAACGATTTCAGCTATCTTCATGTAGCCGTAGCACCTTGACAGCATTACCCCCCATAACCGCCCTCCCGCGGTCGGTCGCATCACCTAGGGCTTTCCTCACAGCCTCCGCATTCCAAGTCACGCTTTCCCATTCGCCCTGCTCGTCGCTGTTTAGTGGTGGAAAGAACGGATGGTCCGTGCCGAACATCAATCTATCGGTCCCGCTAGCGTCGATCGCCGCTTTTAGCCCAACTTCAGAGTACACAACAGCATCCAGGTAGATTTGTTCCCTAAGGATCTGCCATATCGTCCGTCGACCAGGTCCCGCCTTGCCCTCCCGGACTAGATGTCCATCGTGAACGATACAGCTCTCGATGCGGCCCGCTAAGAAAGGCAGCGTCCCGCCGCTATGCGCTAGTATCAAACGCAACTCCGGCACCAGATCAAACACGCCTGCAAGGTACATCCTCGCCACCGCGATTGTTGTTTCCATGGGAAACCCTAGGGCCAGCGGAAGTACGTGGCCGTATTCTTCCGTAGCGCGGGGACCCCACACTTCGCTCGGCAAGCCATAATGCGGATGTAGGAATATGGTCAGCTTGTTAGCGGCGAGCGCGGAGAAGACCGGCACGAAGGCCGGATCATCGAGGCCTTTTCCGAGCCCCGACGTTCCTAGAATCACGCCTCGGCAGTACTTCAAGCTGCGGATGTGTCCGACAGCTGCAAGAAGAGTTTCGGGAGGGGCAGTCAGCGGCAAAGTTGCGAAAAAGAACAGCCGGCCTGGGTTCGCGGCGCACATATCGGAAAATTCCTGGTTGATAGACTTGGCAGTTTCTCCCGCGTCCTCGGCGGCGACGAAGTCGAGCCACGGGTTCGCAAGCGAGATGACCGAGATGTCGATTTTATGCGTGTCCATAAAATGAATCTTCTGACTAAGGGAGGAATAATGCGTCGTCACCGGTCGACCGGGAAGGTGAGATGACGTCTTCTCCGGATTTTCCGATGTAATCTTGTCTAGCGATTCCGCTTCGGCGGGTAAGATGATGAGGCGGGGCTCCTTTGCGCCGGCGAACTTCCGGATTAGGGGTATGCTGTTTCGGGATTCCAGGAGCTGCACATATGCCGGGGGATACATGTGGGTGTGGATATCCACTACCCGGCGCGTCGACGAGCTCATCGTAGCAATTTTACCACTTTACGACTTTACCACCGGACAAGTTAATTTAAGAATAGGTACGTGGTATGAGCACGCGGGACGATGCCAAGCTAAGATCGTGAACGAACGTGAACGATACTCCGACTTTGTAGAGTAACTTGAGTGAGCTTTTGGAGCTTATCTCGAAACAGCAATAAAGACCTGGGTTAGGCCATATGTCTAGCCTGCGAATCTTGGCTGATGAGAGGCTGATGAATGATACCCCACATTTGGTAGGTGATATCTGAAGGCGTCCACTCGAGCTATCTGGAATACATCACACCCCCTCTCCCCTCTCGGAACTCTTATCTCATGCATAATCTAGAGGGCAATCCCTTATCTACGCGGCGGGGTTTGTCGACATAGCTGCGAGCGGATGGAAAGTGATTCTTCTTACCTGATACCTCTCAATATTATTAGTCAAGCAATCGTGAACATACTAGGTTCGACCGAATATCGAATGGTTTTCACCCTCTTCTAGTCTAGATTCAGCGTCCAGGTGCAGTGATGCTTTGATAAGCTAAGAATTGCGCTCCGGATGAAAGATAAAATGCTTGCTTTGGAATACCGTCTCGCGAAGGAGCCAAAAGGTTCGCTTTTCGTCGGATAGAGCCGGATCTCGTGTGCTTACCTGGTAGGTAGGTAGATAAAAGGTAGTATCTTAGCTTAATGCCACTTTGCTATGTGTTAGGTTAGGTAGGTAGTTTTGTAAGGATGTATTTTTCTTCCTCGTCGACTCGTCTTACTCTTTTTCCGATAAGCCCATTCTCATCAACTTGCCCAAATTGATGTGTATAAATTCTAAAAAGCAAAGCGACACGTTACCTTTAACGTTTCCTGATTCAAAGAAGTGATGGAGGAAGCAGCTGTAAAAAGCGATGGCTTGTTCATTCCGGTAGGTATCAAGACGCGCATATGTAAAGCGCCTGGAGGATATATAGCTGAGCACTAGAAATCCTAGCTTATCGACTTTTCCCAATTCCTGAACGGTAACCCGGAACAGAGGAAGCAGACTGCCGATGCGATTCTCCGCGGGTTTCAAACATCCGGATTCGTCTATCTGAAGGGCCTGCCCGTCAAGCCGGAGTACAGGAAGCACGTGTTTGATACGTCGGCCAAATACTTCAGGCTTCCCGTCGAGACCAAGATGTCTCACTGCTGGACTACACCCGAGGCGAACCGGGGTTACTCGGCGCCGGGCAGAGAGAAGAACACGGATCTGACGGACATGGACGCCGTCAAGAAGTTGAGGGATGCGGTACCTGACTTAAAGGAAAGTCTAGAAATCGGGCGTGACGACGAGCCCGGCCACCCAAACCATTGGCCCGAGGAAGAGGGCGAGCTGGTAGGCTTCAGGGAGACAATGCTCGACTTCCATAAAAAGTGCAAAGAATTGCACATCGAAGTTATGCGCGCCATCGCCGTGGGCCTGGGTATCGAAGAATCATGGTTCGACAAGTACACGGACGTCGGAGATAATACCTTGAGGCTTCTTCACTACCCCGAAGTCAAGAGAGACGTGTTCAAAATTAATCCGGGGCAGGTCAGGACCGGCGCGCACAGCGATTACGGTTCTATCACTTTGCTATTCCAAGATTCCCAGGGCGGTCTGCAGGTGCAGAGTCCGACGGGTGCCTTTGTCGACGCGGAGCCCATCGAGGACACCTGCGTGGTAAACGCTGGCGATTTGCTAGCGAGGTGGAGCAACGACAATATCAAGAGCACCATTCATCGCGTCGTAGAACCCCCGTCCCGTCGAGACGACGTCTATCCGGCCAGATATAGTATAGCGTACGTACACGTGGAGTCTTGTTAAGCGTCCAAGTACGTGGCTAACAAAGCTTTACAGATACTTCTGCAATCCCAATTTCAAGGACTACATCGAGGCCATCCCTAACACTTACGCTACCGAGCAGGACAAAAAATACGAGGGAATAAATAGCGGCCAATATCTCGTCCAGAGGTTGGCGGCTACTTATTAGATATCGTGATTCGATCGGAAGTTTCCAAGGTGATATCTCGTGCAGTGCTTCGTCTGACAGTCGTGGGCGTAGGATATTGGATCGTAGGACATTTCTTTATTCGGCAATGGGTCCTATGTGTAGCTTATCTGGAGGCTTCGAATTGGACGAACCAATTTATGATTTTGAAGGTTACGACTTGAAACTTTGGGTTCCGTGATGCGCATGTGATTAAAGCAAACGCAACATTTTGAAGTCTGGATTTTAAGAGGTCAATCTGGACGATATGCTGGGGAACTGATAAGCGAAAAGGCCCCCTATTAGGTAGGCCTATTAGGTATTACATAGGTAGGTACCTACCTAAGGATTACCTGCTGGAGAAACGTCATTCTTGGAGCGAAGAACCGCCGGGGAATAGTAGAGCCCCACTGGAGCGTAGGACCCTCAGCGCCGATCCTACAGCCCCAAGCAAACTCAGCTAACCTAGGCTGCTAGGTACCTACCTAGGCAGTATCATGCGTTCCCGCGTTAAGTGCCTTAGGTACCTTGCCGAGTCTGAAACTTCCCAACTTTTATCTTCCACTCAAATCTCTCTTTCGTACCCTCCTTTCGATGGGGTCTCAAGATGAAGAAGACGCTGCTGTTGTGTTTTATCCACGGCTTCAAGGTAAGTTTTTGCCTTTCTCCCTTCCTCGTTACTTCTAGGCGATGTCGCCTTTCTAACCGGATAACTCGATAATAGGGGGGTGACGACACCTTTGGCGAGAAGTCCGAGTTCGCGCAGCACCTCGCTGCTATCGTAGGTGCTGCGCTGCCTAAAGTCTCGGTGCGCGCTATCACATACCCTCAATACGAGACCCGCGGCGACTTGCACGAGTGCGTCGCTCGCTTCCGCGACTGGCTGCTCAACAAGGTGATCGACATCGAGGTCGCCGCCGGAACGCCTTCTCCGACCGTCGACCCTTCCGTCCGTACGATCCTAATCGGACACTCCATGGGCGGTATCGTTGCCGCCGAGACTGCTATCGGCCTCGCTTCCGAGGTGCCCGTTACACGTACCAAGAGTAAAGCCAGTCATCGCGACAGCCTTACCGTTCTAGTCGGCGAGTCTCTGGGCCCCACAAGCCTCATGTTCCCCTATATCCAAGGAGTCCTCGCCTTTGATACTCCTTACCTCGGAATTTCTCCCGGAGTAGTTGCCCACGGCGCCGAGGGCCACTATAACAGCATAAACGGCGCCTTGGCCCAGCTGAACGGGCTATCCAGCATCTTCTGGAACAATTACAACCAAGCGTCCGGAAGCACCGGAGGCGCCAGCAAGAAGCCCGCCGGTGCTCTACCCGCCCCCGAATCGCCCCAGGACAAGAACAAGAAGCAGGGCGGCGGAGGATGGGGGTGGGGCCAGATCGCAGTGGTGGCCGGAGCGGCAAGTGCTTTAGCGGCAGGTGGCGCGGCGGCGTATATGAACCGAGAGCATCTCACCTCGGGGTGGTCGTGGGTCAGTTCGCATCTCGAATTTGTAGGATGCCTAGCCAGAGGTACGGAGCTACGAGAGCGGGTAACGAAGATGGTGAAGTTGGATCGGGAAATGGGCGTCGGCTTTGCGAACCTATACACGCGACTTGGGAAAGCTGCGTCTGCGAAGGAGGTTAGCATGGTGGGAACCGTGATGGGAAACGAGCGTACTTTCTGCAATCTACCCGCGCGCGACAAGCGGACGATGGGTCTATGGGTGGAAGCTATAAACGATAAGGCGAAGGACGAGATAGGGGCACATATGGGTAAGCATGCTTTCTTTGTCTTTGTTTCTCGTTCCGTAGTAATTCGAACAGTTTATGTGGGTACTGACGTTAGTATGCAGCAATGTTCGAGCCCAAGGAAAACCCCGGGTATCGCAAGCTATCGGATGACGCAAAGAACTTGATAGTACGCTGGTCCCGCAACGAATGGTATGAGACGAGCGGCCGACATGCGATTGAATAGACAAGGATCGCCAAGCGGGGTGTGCAAGCTATTGTTTATAGGTGTATTTTGTCTATACTTCTACATATATATTACCCTGACCATTCCCGTCGATATTCATGAATATATTCCTCTCTTCCGTCCGGGTTTTGCAGCCCTTTACTTCCGTTAAAATATGAGCAGACACGTGCGAAGTCTACTTTGTGACCTTCTTCTGCGCCTTAGTCCCGAAAATCTTTCGTCTCTGGGCCATCATGTGCGTATACAAGAAATACGCAGCTAGAAGTATTACATTAGCGTCTGTTTTCCGGTAAAGCTAAGGGCACTCCACTTACACGGAGGATAAACCAACGCGACGTATCCAAAGAGTACGGCCGAGTATAGCGGGCTTACACCGTCCTTGGCGGGCTCGACAGCGCGCCAGATCAGGTAGGCTTCGCTAGAAATACCGATAGGATACAGGATGAAGAAAGTGTGGTATCGCAGCCAGTGCAGTATCGAAGGCGGTTGCCCGCCCGAAGAAAGCGATAGCGCGAAGAACGAGTATCGGATGACCTCGGTAACGCCCCACGCCACCAGCATTGACGAGTACGCCAGGCTGCTGTAACCGTCACCGCTACCGCTTCCGAGGGCGAGCTCGGGGAATAGTCCGGTAATCCCCCACACGATCGCGTATCTGCTGAAGACCTGCATGAAGGTCGTAAAGAACGGGGCACGCACGACACCTATCAGAAATTGAGACGTTAGCTTTCTAGTCTGTCTGATAATTCAACTTTCCATATGCTAGGAAACTAATATAGAAACCCTCCTGCCCCCCCCCAGCCATACGAACAAGGTCCGCACGTGCAGAAACAAGTAGCTGGAAATCTGAGATAGAACGTACCTAGGAGCGAGTGCAAAATCTCCATTCCAGCCAACGTCTGCGTCCACTTGCAGAACTCGCCAACAGCAGGGTAAACCGCCTGCGGAGTGCTATTCAGGTTGGCGATGACGACGCGGCTCAGCACTGTGAGCCAGAGAGCAGCCGACACGGCATTATAGAGGATCAGATAGGCATTTTTGATAGGTGAAGATTTCTTGACGGGCTTCGTTGTGTCGGCCATTTTGCTTGTCGGTGCTCAATGGCTGTGCGAGATGGAGTGGTGAAGTTGACAAAATAGTAGAGAGGATTGTAAATTTCGTGGGGGAAAAAGAGCTACGTATCAGCGTATGTACTCCCTTGTTAGCTATAAGTGGGACTAGAGCTCCATTTCCTACAAGGGGATTGGTTACGTCAAGCTCAGCTTCACTAGCCACTAACCTACTAGGTACGCATATAGCCCTTTGAATTTATTGGTAGCGTCCTCGATTCGCTTTCTTCTTCACTTTCTCGGCTTATCACACCGAGAACAATTTTCTACCATTGAACAATCTAGCAGACCTAATTCCCTCATATTTAGTTTCATAACCCGAACCCCGATAGGTCGACTCCAATTCAACCTTCTCTTCTCATAAGAAAATGAGCGACATGATGACAAAATCCGCAGATAATTGATACGTCTTCAGTATCACGTCAACCGGGCAATATTTAATCGTCTGTCAGATCAATAACTTCCTCCGGTATCTCCAGCGCGGTTCGAGAGGACTTTCCGGGTCGCTCGGTCTCGCCGCTCAAGTCGACGACTTCTTTGAATTCCCGTTTCAAAGAAGGCTTGCGCTCTTCTTTAATATTACCATCTCTCTGAACTTAGTTAGTAGGTACCTATACAGGGTAGCCAATCGGTATAGCTACGTACCTGCAACTGGACGAGCCTCTCTCCAGCTAACCGTTCCAGCTCGGCCCGCGACATTCGAGCGACTTCTCGCTTCGGCCCTGGGCTTGGCGATGGAGATCGAGGAATGACCATCTCGCGTTTTAGAGCATCTGTGATATTAATATACGCAGTTTTGGATGTGATTGCTACCTGCTCTTCATACCTCTAGATCTATAATGGAATCGAAACGTCGCAATCGGCTTATCACGCCCGTCGAGATAGCTTATATTACACGACGTGGGAGCAGGCACGCCCTTCCCCGATGACAAAAATCTTTATCAATTCAGTATTGGCACAAGCTTCACGTAGGAAATATTCGGCTGAAAAGACGTACGAAGTTCCGTGCGATATAGCTTTGCCCTTAAGAGACTTCTCTGCAAGCTCTAATTTATTGCTTGTAGTAGGCTTTCGGAATGATGATGCGCGATGTCCTAAATAGATACACCGATATATACGAACTTGAATCATCCCAAGGTGCTTAGCTATCTTGGTGTCATCTTCGATTCGATCCTTTTTCGCGTCGTCAACTGAATCTTCCGTCAGCTCACCGTTTCCATATGGACGACTATGAGAAACATACCGACGTCGACGGCAGAGAACTGAAACCTTTGACGAATCCATTGCTTGGTATGACTGCAATACACCGTGTCGTCAGCTTTAGTTTTTGTTGCGACGCCATTAACCATGTCCCCTCTTCTTATGACATAACCCCGAGTACTTTTATCGTCCATGCGAAAATCCCAGTTAAGAGCAGTGACCGGGTGGCTCCATCGGTAGTCTCCAGTAACTCGTGTCTTAATAGCAAACTCAGCCCCATCGATGCATTCGATGTACTTAGTTGAAGTGGGACAATTCGCGCCCGCGACATCCTGCTCCGACGCGTTGGGATCCTCATATTCAGCAGCATCGATACCAGCAACTTGTACAGTAACTTCGATACCCGGAACATCCTCGAGGACAGCCATGTCGAGACCCGCTTAGCTCTGGATTCCCTAAAATAAAGACTTAGAAGGCATTGATCAACTCAGTAGAAACTCGTTACAACCTATTAGTCGCGGTGGGGAATAAATTGAGAGATTGAAAGATTCGTCCGCGGTGCACAGTACGCAAAATGTGGCCCACATGCAAAACACATCTACATACTGCAGCGGGACTATCTGCATTTAAACAATGATTGTTAGGCCCAATCATTGTCCTATATTACAATTAGAAACAACAAGGCAAGCGCTATGAGTTTCAATACTGTTAACCTTCTAACCTAGGTTCAAGTAACTGTAGCCCCGCAGTGAGATCAACCACCAATCAAGTCTTTGTATCTGTTACCTCTACATATGTAGCATTAGACTACTTCGTGCGAAGTACATAAGTCTTAAATCCTTAGGTAAATATTAACCTTTTAACTCCTGTAGGTGAAGGAGATTCCTCGATTCTCCTTCCATCGTATATACATCGGCTTCCTTTCAAAGGCTTTCTCCTAAATCTCCATCCTCTCCTGGTCGAGGAAATCGCGAAACAGGGCTAGATTTTCAAATTCGTCCGCCAAGTTCTCCGCCCTGGCCTGTTCGGGGTGCTTCAGCGCCAAATCCAGATCAACCATAAACGTAGCACGGGTCTTGTGTTCAAAGTCTTGCTTCAGACTATCCAGTCTTCCCTCTTTGAGCTGGTCGACTATTCTTTGCGCCTCGCTTCCTGTCATGTCCGTCTCCTTCAGGGTCATGGACAACAAGCCTTGGACGATGACCTCGGAGATGCGGAACGGACGACTGAGGCTTTCGTAGCCGTATAGGCAGAGCATCAGGTAGAGGCGCCGATCCGGGTCGCTCGCATCCTTCAGCATGGCGTTCGCTAGGTAAAGGAGGCCGGTATGCCAGAGTATCGAGCAGGTAGATTCCACGAACTTGCTGCGATACTCGACGATAAGATTCTTAAGCTGAGCGACCGACGCGGCGTAAACCGCATCCGGTGAGCTATCGCACGCCGAAAACGTCGTCAGACGCGGTCGTTGACCTTCTGGCTTCCCGATGAAGGGTCGGAACACGTCGAGAATAGCGCAATGAAGCCATATGCTATTCCTAGTTAGCAACGAACAGAACTAGAGCGTGCAATTCTATACGGATGCTCACTGAAGTAGGATAACATGATGGGTCTGGTCCTCTGCTCGAAGCAGAGGTAAGGGCAGGGCTTCCGCCCAGGCGATTAGCTCACGAAACTTATGCTCGACGAGAGCCATCTTAAAGATATCCGGCGGACGGCCTTGGGTTGGGGTATATATCCACGCAGCTCCTTGGATTATCTGCCAAAATTGACAGAGCGCGGGGAAGATCGTCCCTAGAAGCTCCTCGCCAGCCGGAAAACCCTCGCCCATATCACCCTCTTGGCGCGCGGGCGTCCTCTCGCCTGGGATCGGCAATACGGGAGCCGAGCTCGGGCTCTCCGCGCCTGGCTGCCGATAAAATAGCGATACAAGTCTAGCATGTTAACACACGTCAAGTTTACGAACGCTATTCTTGTCGAGTCGTTGCACCTACACATTCCAATTAAACGTACCCCACGCCGCGTAACAGCGTGCCGCCATATCCTCTTTCAACATATTCTCGTTCGACCTCGCCGGCCCTCCCTCGTCGTCATCGAAGAGCCCTAAATTCTTACCCATCTGCATCGCTTCTTTTGCATAGAAGAGAACCGCGTGATCTTTACTATTTCCTATGAGAGATATACTGAGCAATACAGCACCTGCCATGGATGAATACGAGTCTGGTTCTTCTTTCCGCGCCTTTTGAGCCTCCTGCAGGAACTCATCGGCAAATTGCATCGCATCCTTGTCAAAAGCGCTATACATTTGCTGCGGCTAATCAGCCTCTCGCATGACCTTTCATGTCCCCTTCGTACTTACACATCCAAGATACATCAACGCGTGAAAAAGGAACCTAGAGCAGAACCTACGCTGCTGATTAACTAGGTCTGTGATAAAGAGGTATGGACTAAAAAGGCCTAATATCGGGTGGTCAGTTTTTATATAGAGAGAGATGACTTGCGCCGTAAACTCGTTGGTCACCATCACATTGGTCCAGAAATCGACCTGCAAACTATGAAGTCGTTCGTCGCAATAGCCGACTCCTCGTCTAGGACTTACGGGAGGAGGAAAACGTCTGCCTTCCGAGGCAGCGTCGACGAGAAACGATGGGCCCCTATGGTTCGGGAGATTAATACCAGGCGTCCCAATCGGGTTATGATCGCTACGACGGCCGACTCACATAGGGTTAGCCTCTATAGACCGTCGCATAGGGCGTAGGAGATCGCTCTTAGCCAAGACGTGCGCATCTATACGGCGCAAGGGAAGAAACGTCTTGGAGTTGTTGGCCATAAGCTCCAGCTCGAGCATGTTTCGAGGAGGAAGGAATCCTCGGGCTTCCGCGCCTAGGAACGTAGACTGTCCCTCCGCGTCGCCCTCTCTCAGCACCGACAAGACGGTCGCCGGATCCCCGTTTTCTCGAAGCGAATTTAAGAGCCCGAACGCTTCGCCCACGGGCAAGGATTTCAAGAGCTCGAGCACCTCCATCGCCTCGGGTCCGGCCTTGACTTTATCGATATAGACACAAAATCTTACGCCTCGCTTTTCGCAATTGGCGCACTTCGGTCGCACGCCATCGCACTGTGCCGAGTTAGCTAGAGCGACGCGGGACGGGTTGGACAAAAGCGGCAATCAAATCGCTCGCCTTGATCTTGCGACGTCTACATGTAGTGCAGGCACCAGGTCTCTGCCGTCGCGTACTGGGGCCGGGGCCGGGGCCGGGATTCAGCGGTTCTTCCTCTTCCGGCAGAGGAGCCGACGGGAGGATTGGCGGGTACTTTCTCGGTTGCATTCTTATAGAGTCGGTATGGAAGTGGTGGTGGACTTTATGGTTGCTTAGCGCTTTGCGAACGTCACGATGACGATTGAAACTGATTACTGAAGTTTCCGTATATAGTAGGTACCTTATATATATAGGTACCTAAGTAGGTAGGTATGCAAGTATCGATGACAATAAATATCCCACGTGATGGTCAGTTGATAATACTCCAACGCGGCCAAGGTGCACGCATCACGAGGGCGCGAGGGACAGAGGGACACCCCCGCATGCACGCATCCGAGATTCCTACCACTCAGGTGGCGTCTTTCGGATGTTTATCTTTCAGGGCGTTTGACGCTTTTGAATTTCGATCTCCAAAGGCTGATTGGCGTGAGCGATAAGGCCCCTTTACCCTCTTCTCCTCTTACCGACCGTATTCCCATTCGCTCTAAGAATGACAGATTCCCACAGGCATATATGCAATTAATGCGAGATACCGGAACGACCAATGGAACCGAAACTGACGTTCTAGATTTCTCGGGCGCTCCTTACGTAACTTCCCGAGGTCACACTGTAGCACACTGTCAATAGTGTTATTGTAGTAGCAGCCAAAGGCTTCATTCGTTGTGACATATCATTTTTAACATTCTAGCCGAGATATCTAGGCAGGCTCTCCATTGAGAAGCATAGGTCTGTCTACATATGGAAAAGTCTAAAGACTTCAGCGGCCAAGACGGTTACAACTCAGCCACCACGAAACCGCGTCACCGATTCGCTTAGACAAATACGGTGACGCCGAGAAGCAGCCGTGGTCGAATATATATCCGAATACGAACTGCAGACCGTAGAGCAACGTGCCGTCCGATATCGTCGCGGCATAGATTTTATTTTCCGCCTCACGACGCCCACCGAACCTCGAAGGTCTTAAATCTGACCTCGAGCGAGCCGGTCGCGCTCTTCTCCGGCCTCGCCGCCAGCGGACTTACATCCAGAAGCCACTCCTCGCCGCCGGCCTCGTCCTCGTCCGCGAGCACCCAACAGATCTCCCTCAGGGGAATCTTGTCGACGACGCCGCCGTTCGCATCCAGCACGACCCGGTACACCCAGAAGCTCCTGCCGTGCTCGTCGCCCTCGCGCGCGATCTCGATGGTGACGCCGCCCACCTCGGCGGGCTCGGGCTCGTCTTCCGCGAGCGTCAGGGGCGCGACGCTCCAGTCCGCAAAGCGGTCGGTGCTGACGGTGCTCAGCTGCGGCCGCCCGACGTAGTACTCGACGCCCGTCTTGATCCACTTCTCGGGCGGGGTGATGCCGGCCGACGAGCGGCGCTTAGGCACGAGGAGCAGACCTCCTTGGTCGTACCGCTCCGTCCAGTCGGCCCAGAAAGTGACTCGGGCCGATTCGAAGTTCTTCAAGAGGCCCGAGGACGTGTGGGAGATGGGCGCTAGGAGGGTTAACTCGGAGCCACAGATACAAAGGTGATAGGAACGTAGTACCAGTCCAGATATTCGTCGTCGGCGGCTTCTTCCAGATGTCGGTGTTCGGTCCCGCTTCGAGGACGAATGATGTTTTGATGGTGGACATGTTGAGCGGTCGGGTCGATATGAAATATTTATGCCTTTGGTCTTCTGTAGCTACCGGCTGATACACACATTCGAAAACCAGCTGGGAGCGGGTTACCCCAAGCTTAAATATACTTCCGAGCTGAGAAATCCGCCATATTCGGGATCTTGATCGTAGATTTGCCGATGACGGCCCGGCGGCCCTAGGCGGCTAGTCTAGCTGTCTCCGGAGCTGCCAAGTTGGTTTGCTATTTGGTACGAATTATCACGTCGAACTGAAGGCGTTCCGACTCACGTAGTCCAATCGCTGCGACCTCGTCTCACTCGCATCAAACCTGAATTTCTAATAGCCATGTCGGAAGCATACTCGAGACGCTATTCACTTCGGAGATACCTAAAGAAGACGAGACCCGCAGTGTCTTGGCGGCTCATATAAAGACGTGATATAGGTCAATTCCCCACAACCAAGTGCGGAGGTGCCTCTTATCGGTTCTCCGACGAGGCCTTTGGGCGTCAGCTTCAGTAACTCGCAGAAGAATTGGTCATTGGCGATATGAATTGATTCTATAGAAAGAACACTTATAAGCTCCTAGCCATAGACGTAGATAAACCCGTCCAATGAACTTTCTCGCTTCTATTTTCAACTTACAGGCTTCTGTGAATCCCTGGTCTTTGGCCTTCTCTCACCATTACTGCATACATAACTTCATATCAGGTGCAATACTCCCTTACACTCATCAACGAGTAGTTGATGAATAAGAAAATCTACTTCCGCACTCAAAGTGATGCTTTGGGAAATATGATTAGACTTGAAGCAGTATGCAGTTGTTCAGCTTAACTTGGACCTGATCAACCACGCGTATTTTTGGGGATAAGCAAGTATCATCGAGGACAAAAAGAACAGCGAGAGGGTCAAATAGAATTACGTCGAGATGGAATACATAACACCCCCAGCCCGAGCACACGTACAATAGGGGGCTGGCTACCGTATGTGGCTATTTTGCTACAGCACCTCAATAGGCTTTCGAGATTTCTTAGGGAAAGCTTTTGGTAAGATATTCAGGTGTTTGTTTCGCCGCTCGGCCCTTCTCTGTCATGTTGCCATCTTAAATTATGTCCGGAACTGTTGTGAATTTACTTGGTGCATCTCAAGTACGAGATCGTAAGGACTGTTCCAGCACCGCAGTCATTAACAAGTACCCCTTTAATTTTCTCCCTCAAGGTAGCTTGTTATCACGTATCTAATGTCTACCTAGAGCGTGCTCCCCCCCTATTTATGAATAGGTACTTAGATAGCCCACCAAATGTTGTCGGACTGGTAGCAAAAGTGAAATCGCAACCAACACTTATAAGGCAACGACGACGTAGCGTGATAGCACACTAAGGAACGATAAACCGCGTTTGCAGAGCTACCTTGACAATTCCCAACTTCACCAGGTTTTGTTTCAGAATCCTTATGCTTCCTATCCAGACGCAATAACCACTCGAAATATCCATCTCGGCGCTCTTAGAACACCACCGTGAAATGAATTACCCCGTATCCTGCGCAAACTGTGGCAAGCCAGCAACGACGAGATGCTCCGGCTGTTTGACCGCGCCGGAGTATCGACCTGGGGATGCCCCAGCGACCGCGTACTGCGATTCCAAATGTCAACAACAGCAATGGCCGACGCACAAAGTGCAGTGTCGCATACTGAACAAGCGAAGAACCCTGCTAAGAATTGCAGAGCTGTTGAAGACCGCCTTGTTCGCTTATCGCGAATGCGTGTATGATATCCCTCTAACCGAAGTCAAGTATGAGGAAGGCATCCTCCGCTTACTGCTGGATCCGAGGAAGATCCCGTACCGTCCCTGGCAGATTCCCTTCCCGAGCGACCTGAACATCAGTCCTCAGCATAAAGAAGCAGCCTTAGCAACCAACCAATGCACGACTGCCCAATGCCTTCTCGGACCCCTGGCTCGCTATCTTCTCGGAGGTGAGACAACCCAGCCCTGCGCGTGACGCCGCGAGAGGATATGCTCACAATGATATAGGAATCGAATCGACATTCAAGGTCGTCGAAGTAAATGCCGAGCCGATAGTTCCGTGGAAGTTCGTATGGCTGAGCGATTCTAAGGACGAGCTGCGAAGCCTCGCCTGTACCGCCGTGACGCACACTATCCTGCTCGTCTGGCTGCGCGGCGAGGGGTGGGTCATCGATACGACAGGATGCCAGTTCGGCTTTGGGGACGTCCTCGTCCCGCTGAACACCTACTTCAAGAAGAGGGTGAAGAGCCTCGCCCGCGGACCATTCGCGTATACCGAGCACGAAACCAGCGACCTCGACGTCTTCGACTGCAAACTGGCTCTTAACGATACCGACACGAAGCGTCTAAAAGCCGCACACGAGCGAGCGGGCCGCTTGCACTTTGCAAAGTTCGTCCGGGAACGTTTCGACCGCTACGAATCCCCGCGTCCCTCGGAAGAGCTCCTGGGCGGTTCCTCGGAGGAGTTCCAGGTTAGGCTTGCTCGCTTCAAGGGCGATTTGAAAGTACACATGGCCAGTTTTGTGGACTTTGCTTCTGGAAAGGAACGTTTAAGCGAGTCTGGTTGACGTTTGAATTTCCTTATCGACTTGTGATAGTATATTATGGTTTCTGGGCTTCGGGTATTCTCAAATAACTACCGAAGCAACGGATTAGTTTGAAAGTCGTTTACCTTGATCCATTAGAGGTACATTTATTTTCCTTCGTTTTGTAGGTGGATTGGTATTCATTCACTAACGTCTATGCGAAGCGACCTACTAAGTTTAATTATCTGTAACAAGGGCTATAAGGGCTTAGAACGTATACCCAACTTCCTAATAATTCTCTAGGGTTTTAAGGTCTTTGGTTCTCCTTCTAGAGAAGGTGAAATCAGGACCTATTTGTAGAAAATCCAAGATATGTATCTTAAGACCTAACCGCCGTACCAAATTAAATGTTGTTTATATTGCGTTCTTCTTGCATATCCTCGTTATATATCTCATCCGATGATCCATAAAGAGTTATCCTAACCGCATTCCTAGAAAGACACGATGTGCCTTCAGCGGGACATGATCCCTCCAAATTCTTTCGTCGAACCTAAATCCTTCTTCAAGGGTCCCACTGTGGTTCCTCATTGACCGCAATGTGCCCTGAATATATCCAACAGCTTTATACATAGATAAGGACCCGGAGCACAATTTCAGATACGGATCGAATGGTCCTTTCATCATTCCTAAGATCTTCTCTTGTATTTTGGGTTGTTCAACATAGTCCTTGACGGTTCTATGATGGTACTGGGCTGTAACAGTGCGAAGCTCATGATACGATGGCTCTTGACCTAATTTTGGAATGTAGACAAACCCCTTACAACGGGAGTTTAGCCGTTTTCTTATACTTTCAATCCGAATGGCTACATGCTCATGGGATACACGGGTATTGGGAAGTTTAAATGCAAAGTCAGGCTCTTCCTCATCAGCAAAAGACAATAACAGTGCTTCAGGTAGTCGCTCGCAGGCAGTCATCAGATGGAAATATTGGGCCGCATGTTCGAGATAGAAAGGATCTAGGTTGCTAAGAATCCTGTCATATAATGACTCCAAGTCGGGGGGAAGTTGAGAAAGCTGTCTTTGTAGGTCAGAAACTCGATCTCCGTATTTAATCCCATCCAGAAGAGATGACACAACAATGCTGACCCAGAGAAAAACTCCCGAAGCCTTTCGTACAACGTCCTCGATGAGATTTCGAGCGAGCTCAATCTCACGGTTTTGAAGCGATACAAATTCGGCGTCGGATTCAAATCTAGACGTAACATAACGTTTAATATCGTCGAACGTGAGGTCTTCAATCATGAGGCTTGGTTTTCCCTCGAGAGCAGCTTCGAAAACCACCCAAGGACGACTTGCTACACAGATCTTTACTGGTAGCGTCTCTATCATATTCTTGACGAATTCAATTAAGTCACCGTGGGTGCCGTTGAATTCGTCAAGCCCGTCGATGAATAAACACAAACTCTTGGTAGAACTGACGAACTTAATCACGCTATCCAAGATGTTTCGCAGTTCGATTTCGTCGAACGGCTTCGGATCCTCGTTGCAAAGACACAGGGCTTCCCACCTTTCCGGCGAAGCATAAGGTATGGCCTCGGGGCAGCTCTGACAAATCTGGCTTAATAAAGTACGGTAGAGACCTTCCCTTGACGTTTGCATTTTGAAACCAGCCGCCCAGAAGTAGAACGAAGCCACTATTAATGGTTTTTTTCTGGCCCACCGAAGTAGATATTCCGTGCAACGAGACTCCCCGTCGTGCGAACGACCTGCTTCTCCAGATGAGGCGGGCTGGGAGATGTATTTCATTAGCGTCGATTTGCCGGCCCCTGCTTTCCCAGTGATCCAGTATAATTGCTCGTCTGACTGGAGCCAGTGGCGAAAGTTAGCCCAGGGGCGGCGTTGGTCATCTTCGGGGTCAAAGATCCAGCGGAACGTTTCTTGGTGGGCCTCTGCGATCCTAAGTTCACGGTCGCGTATACCGTCATAATGTAGACTCAAAATGAACTTGTTGTGGAGGGCTAGCTTTCGAGCTTCCGTAAGTTCGAAAGCAGAGGCATCGTTGCTAGAGGGCCTGGCAGAAACATAGACGGCGCCGAGCAGATCGTTACGAAACGTTCTCTCTGCGTTATCGGACTCGGGCGTAGCGACTGCATGCTTGAGATACTCGACTAATGCCGACCCCAAGCCCTCGTGACGGTTTACCGTAGAACTTCCATTCCTCCGTAGCTGGTCGTTATTACTTCGAGACTGCAGAAGCTGCAATATTAGGTCTTGATTGTGCAGTGACTTGGTGGCGTAAAACCTTAAACATTATATTAGAGCAGTGTTTATGTTTGGATAGGTATAAATCTGACCTGAGAGAAATATTCAATCCCAACATTATTTGGTTCCTGTATTGATCCAGCTGAGTTTGCAGGGCCACGATCTTCTCATTGCCCCATTGGATTTTGAAGGCGCTCACCAAGGCCTTCCGCTTGCGAATACCCTTGCGAGGACAATCGGTGATTCCAAGGTAATTCAACGAATCAATTATCTGCTGAGCAATCTTCACGCAATCTTTGGCCAGCGCGACGATTCTGCTGTTGGTTTCATCTTCGGCCGGGTCTCGAGGCGACGATGTGGTCATGGGGATCTGTTGTAGGGCCGCCTTCAGATCTCGCGAAATGGACTACGACGTAGTAAATTCGTCCGCAATATCCTTCTCGGAGCGCCATATCTTCCAAGCAAGATCAACAAACTTGGCACCGACTCCGACAACTTGCATGATATTGACTGCTAGGCCAAAAGTCGCAATAGCTTCAGCCATCTTGAATATTATGATGGAAGGCGAGCAGTGTGTGAACAGAAAGTAAAAAGATGCTAAAGAAGATCTAGCAGGAAGAAACGATAACTACCAGCCTAGGCATATTTTCGTCTACCGTCCGACACCTTTCATATCACATGATACCTAAGCATCAGACGAATAGCAGTTGCAGTACGTCGAGTAATCATATTCTCGCGTAGCATTGGGTGCGTGGCTGTGTAAGGAAGGCAGAAAATAGACATCGCAATGGCTGAACCGTCTGCCTTGGTCTTATGCAGTGGGTGCCGAATGCCTCAGGCATATACACCGGAGTTTTGATTCGATATGGTTATTTTTATAGGGGGTGGGCTACTCGCACTCTCTTCACAAAGTACCACTCCGTATATCGCGCCGCATAAGTGGATCTCGGTGTTAAAAATCTTTGTGTAACTTCGGCATGCGGCCCCACTGTCCTCCGACTGTCCACTTCAAAACTATGCAACGGTACCTAGCCATAATGCTTGATATTAACATACAGTTATCGGCGGCTTAAATGCCTTTAAACATAATTCTTAATTATATCGAATCAACCAACTCAACAATCGTGTTGAAATAGCTCAATATAAGTATCTACGTATGGGCGTTTAAGATCCGTGGAGGTTATATGTCCAACTTTGGAACTATGCCGTCAAACAACAGTCAAGGACTAAAGGTCAAGATTGGGGTTTTCCTCATCCTCAAGCTGTATCGAGTTTACGACTCTCCGATGGCTCGTATATCAAGTTTAGAGCTCCGGAGAGAATATCTTCGCGTTTCCATGCTTCTCAGTTTCACCTCATGTCACCTCTATACTCGCTTATTACTCAGCCTCCTTGTCACGGTACTAAATAGGATATCTAGGCAAAATGTATTCTCTACATATGTAGTCACAAGCTCTCGTAGCTACCAGTCAAAGTTCCTCGCAGAACAACGAAGTACTTTCCATGTTGTTTGGTTCCATCTTGCGACACTCCTTGCCCGGAAGCTGCCGCGATCCTATATAGTAACCAGTACTACATATCTGCCTTTGGCTATCTACAAGCTTTACACAACCCTCTATAAAACCCCTAGACCCTATGTAATCCAACAGAAGCTGATTTATTCCAAGGCTTGCAACTACTCCCTTGTATCTTAACATTGTGCATATCGGGGAATGTGTTAGTGATAACTACACCGCTATCAACTCACCCTGCAGCTGTCAAATAAGCCATGCTTACACGCTATCTCGCGGGGTAATTAAAGCGTTGCCTACCTGGATGGTTTCAACATTGTTCACTTTCTGCCTGAGAGCACGGAGACACCTGGCATACTCGTGATTCAGTGTAGTTGCTACATCACCTATCCCACCAATTAGGTGGCATCCTGAATTTTAAACTTGGAGCTTTAAAAAGGGGTTTTCTCTTCGCAATTAATTGTTTACTTTACATCACAACATTTTCAACTATCATATTTTCAACTCGAGCAACTTACCATCATAAAACTAACTATTCCAAATCTAAACCTAACACAATATGCTGTATTCAATTTCTTAATCACCAAAAACCTTGATGCGAAATTGAGAGGCAGCATCGAAAATGCCATCGCTGGCTTTTGCCAGAAGTTTTCCCGCTCCCGAAATGACAGCAACGCACCAGATCTGTTCGACATCCTTGAGAGTAAGGAAATTATCAACTCATTTTGGTCAAAGACCGCTAATCTCCTCTACAGCGAAAAAGCGCGCGAAAAACGCGGTAAAGTTGTGCTCGAATGCCATTTGCTTGCCGATAAAATCGCTCGGGGCAGTCTCATACGGATAGAAGACCCCCGAAAACTAATTGCGGCCATCCACAAGAAATTAGTGCCCGTCTGGCGTCATAAAACTGTTGACCTCCTCTACTACACCATGACATCGCCGCAATTCATTCGTGTCATCTGGAACAGCACCTTTTTGTCTGCGCCTAACCACAGAGATTCATCGTTCCATATTTTACAGAAACCAATCATGCGACACGAGAATACCCGGATTAAAACAAAACAACTTGCATTCTCCCAGGTCTTAATCTCATATAGCCTGGTCTGTCTCGCGAGAATCCCCCAACCCAGTAAGTAGCCAGTCGCAGTTAACCTTTGTAAATATAACGGTAAAAGCTTTATGCTGCTGTAAGAAAATAACCAAGACTTAGACTAATCGTGTAAAGGTCAAAGCAAATATTATCTAACATATTACAAATCCGACACGCCCAAACAAATGTAAAGCTCCATTATCAGAACTGGCCCAAAATAACTTAAAGCTTCTTCCTAAATTTGGTAACAAGCAACCGAGGGAGACCGCAACTTCAAAACGACCTTGTTTACCTATTGAGCAATCAACAAAGAAAACAACTCCTGACTCCTAATCTCGATCTATACCTAAGCCGCTTCCGACAAAACAGCGCGTGGCACTAAACCCTCTATCAACCTACATTAACGCCGACCTCAGTAGAGCATACATCGACTAATACCAAAAACGCAGAGGAATTTCACGTCTTTCTTTTTGCTGACAGTCCTCGTACAAGAGATTATATGAATTCAAAGACGTTTAACCAATGGGATATTCAGGTCGATGTGCGAATGCTCTCTAGGTTGACCATAACGCCACAATCACAACCACGACCAAGAGATCAATCCATACCTAGAGAGTGATCTTGGCCTCGAGAACAGTCGACAATTCGAAATCTCTCACAGCACTGGAGCCCTCCGATAAACACTCATTCTCCCAGGGACCAGCATAATAGTGTGTCTCGTCGAGGGTCACCATCTCGGGATCGGCGAGAGCGTAGCTGGCGATCCAAAACCTCATTCTCCCTCTCCGCGTTCTCGCCCAAGGGGTTACGGGGATTAGCGAGTGCGTGATTCACGAGCAAGATCTCGATCCTGAAGTCCGCGTCAACAGAGTTCCGGAGATCACCAATATCTCTAGGCTGAGACTCCCCACCACAACTGCGGCCCGGAGATTTTAGTCTACATGAAACTAGTTGGGGATAGTTGGGGATAGTTAATAGCTAATCAATTCGCATTACCTCATGTTGCAATAATTGGTGAAAGGACTACTTTCAGGTACAGTCCATGGGATCTTGGTATGAAATGCATATATTAACAAGTAGGGATTGGATTAAGGGCGTTCTATAAGGGTCAATTGAAAAGGTTAATCTGATGCATTCAAGTTGCTCTGTACCTTATTCATCAGACATGAATATATCTAACTAAATACTTGTATCAGTAAGAGTTGCGGAGCCAAGTGTCCTAAAGCAACATTCTATCAGGCTTCGAGTAGCAACTAAGATGTGACTGTTTACTTCCATATCCTAAAGGTAACTTTGCTGGTAGATTTATGTTATAGTTCGTACAGGACATTCCACATCCGTGACACGGCTAGCGGTAGGCTTTAGGGAGGCCTGCTTGTAAAGGGCTACAGCATAACCGCTATGTCAAGGTCGCTGTCACGGTGAAGGTATTGCATGGCTATAGTAGAGATCGTAAGACTAGAAGAGTAAGTCCTATCCGTGGCTGGTTCGTAGTCTTCCAGTTATCCCTAATCATTTACCTATAGTTAGCCGCGCTCGAGTAAAATACACAGCTTTGAGTCAATTTACAGATGTGCCCCCTTAACAAATATCAGATAGTCTAGCTTCTTATGCCACACTGCCCTTTAGTATGTCCCGAAACTCCTGAGACTTTTATCACAAAGGGCCTCTAATTATATGAATGGTCTAATTTCTTTCACCCCTGGCCATATTCTTCCTTATATAGGATAGCTGTATTGCTACCGTCCTACCTCTGCTCCTGCTCAAGTGTATGGTTGTGGATATTTTCAAAAAGTATCCAAGTGACTATATAGACCAATAGATAGATTTGATGGTCTGTAACTATTGCGGAATGAGGTTCAAGTAATCTTAAGTGATAAAAGCATCTCGAAACTAAAAGTGTTATCTATCTACAATCTTACAATCACGAAACAATTTCAACTATCTAGTTTTCTACTCACTTAATCTGCATTGGTCATCTCAGGATCTTGAAAACAAGGAAACTGAACATTAGTTCTAGATCGAGCCTCGCTTTAGGCGGCCCCTCCTTTACTTAACCGCATACACACTTTACCTAAGATTTTATATGTACCGAGTTAGTTATATAGCTTTCACCTGTTGGTTTAATTTTCCTAAGGTACGAAAGTACATATGTTGCCTATTAAGCCTAGGTGGATGCTTGGTGCACTGCATGGTAGCAGCTGCAAACCCCCGCGCACTGATGGCGGCGTCGTCATAGGGATTGTAGGGCATATGGCAGCTAAAGCCGCATGAGCGGCAGGTGTTCGTCACTACCTAGGAAACATCTGTTCGTGACCCGTGCTGTCGCGTTCACCGCCCTACGAGTTTCTTTAAGAATTAAATTCCTCGTCCCTCTCAAAAATTTATCTTTCTCCTACCTACAACATCAACCTTCCCATCGCAACACCCACCACCCACAACTATCATCGATTCCAATTTGGAATACCTCAGCATCTAGTCCACCCTAATAGAGTAATATATTCTAATTATAATGAACCAGGGGATTTAATAGTAGCACCCGAACCCGGAAAGTCACTCTCACTCATTATCGCGTTCGAATTACCATCGGGACCCCGGGCGGCAGGCAATATTATTCCTGAAAGGCTAGGACCGACGCAGCGCGAAAAGATAATCCTAGAAAGTGGTACTCCGGTAGAAGACGTAACTAAATTATCTGGGAATGTCCTAGTATATCGGATGACAAGCATCCAGAGCTCAACAGGTTACATTGAATGTATGTTAAAAATGGTTTCGGCATTTGTAGGAGAATCTGATTGGTTCAAGATGACAAGGCAGGTCAGAAAACCCGGCGATCGCGAACCACAGAATTTCAGCTACCAGCCCATAGACATCGTGTGTGCAAACTGTCGCAGACATGGCCACGCACTGCAAGCCTGTGTGACGGTTTGGGACCCTTCTGGTGATATTCCGGGTTGCTATCACTGCAACGTCCTGACCCATACCATTGGCAATTGCCCAAAAGAGCCGCAGCTGGACAATAATTCACGATATCATTCAGAAGTAACTTGCCGCGCCGGTCGACCTCCTTTGCGTTCAAGTCGAGGATGGAATCAACTCGCCATCATGATGGATCATCAGGCACTCGGCCCCATCAGCAGAGAGAGAATGACAACTCTTGATCGCACTCATTTCAATCAGTAGGACTATAATCTCTCATCCGTTGATCAGCAAAACCTGGTAGTAATAGATCCTGCCACAATCAACCAAGATTGTATCAGAATCCTCCCTGACCAGGGCTACGCCCAACCAAGATCATTGAACCAGGAGTCCTGAGATCGGTTCCTGAGATCGGTTCCTAGATGAGAATGGCACGCTACCTAACCCTAGAGACTAGCGCAAAATGAATAAGAAATAAGTGCTCTCCCTTGAAAATGACCTGTGACTCTGGCTTTTCGTATCCATTTCAACTAGTTCATTCAGGTACTGCCAATACAAATGTCCCTATAATTATCCCGTGCTTGTTTGTAATCTTTCAGTAGTATTATGGCTAAATATTCAAAGCTGTTCCTATAATCGTAGTTTATAATGCCTGTGGAGGTTTTTGCTTATGATCTTAATCATTCTCTTAAATGTCATCTTCGCAAAGCCTGTAAGGAACAAACATTGCCCTACTGAATGAAAAGTGCCACGTAAGGTCAATGCAATGGCACCATAGTGCGGGGGTGCACGGTGCTGAACATCCAGCTCAAGAGATACGTGAGTCAGTTTTCCTGAAAGATGACTTGGACTTCTTTTCTATTCCCAAAATATAAATCCAACACTCGTTCCCTCTAATCATCTTTTCTTTTCCTTTATTCCACTACTTTTAAGAGTTATCTTCCACAGCCCACTGTCTGCAATTGTTTACTCTCGTAGTTTTCCACTCCCGAGTCCAACTACCTCGCCAATCATGGACAAACAAGGTCTGAGAACAAGGGCATTGGCCCCATACGACCAAGACTATCCGACTAATGTGTATGACACGCGTCCTTATTTGCAACGTACCTCTCAACGAAATAATGACGTTTATCGGAGTGATCTTTCGGACGCATCTGTGTTCCGAACGAATCTATACCGTGGGGACGACCTCTACAGTATGTTGAACAGAGACATACAACCTTGCTGCGTTAAATGCGTCCGAATGCGGTTTGAGGTCTGCAAGGATATCCTTGCGCAAAACCCATACACATTGGATGACTTACTTGTCATTCACGATGATGTTGTGGAAGAGTTGCGAGAAATGCGATGCGTCTTTTATGAAGACGATCCTCACACCTACAACCTCATCGTCACTCGGATGCTATATTATAGAAACTGCAAGTTTCATCACATCTCATTATACTTTGCATCATTTAGCTAACAACGCTCCTAGGCAACACATATCCTATTGCGGGTAGATTCGCGGAGTTATACCCGGACGGTGGCATCTCGCGAGTGTGGTCAGATGCTACAGGATGCGAAGACGAGACCTCAGGTCGACTGAATACTCAGTTCTACAGTCGGCAACAGGCCGATTATCCAATTAGACTATTCGCCCCTAGCCAATCATCATCACCATCATCATCGTTCAGCACCGAAGGAATCCTCATACCATCAACTCTAGCACGACGAAAGACCGTATGGGATGACATTCGAGGAAGGAATACCGCGACATTTCCAGGCTGCGAGCCCTTCGTCATCCGGCTGCCGGCTAAGGATTTCCACTGGGATCGATGCTACGGCACACAGAAAGAGCTTACACAAGCGGTACAGAAACGGTTCAGTCTGATTCAACCTGTTATACGCCTTTCCCCAGAAGCTCCCAAGGGCAAAGAGATCGTGCTCGGGATGCGCCACGCTGGAGACTGGGACGAACCAGAAGCTCATCTTCTTCTAAACGACCTATTTGACACTATGGTGTCCTACAGTCTCACCTTGCTCAGCGACAATTGCACCCTCAGCTTCGTTGAATACCAGAGATGGCGATGCACTAAGTTATTGCGTGATGGCAGCCGCAGGAACCGATATTAAGGTATCCTATTTGGTATTAAGAAGGGCATAAGAACGCCGCCTTAGACACCAATGATTGTATTATACTTTCTTTTTATTCCCTTCATCTGAAGATAGATCAGTTAATAATAGACTCATCTTCAGAAGTTCTGGATCATCGTGAGACATATATGTAGTTCGTTTAGTCACGTGGGGGAGCACGTGGTTGGTGCTCTATATATGCATATATGTAATAATTTAGTTATCCGCATATTGCATATCCTCGTAAGAAGATTGTTGTCAGAGATACCCCTTGATGGATGTCATACGTAGAGTGAATGTTAGAAGCAGCAGCGAAGCTGCTGTATAGTAGCCGTATAGTAGTATGAATCTATTAACGCTTGACCTTCTATCCTCTTTCGAGGGCGCTTCGCGCCCCCTTATATATGTGCTCTATGTAGATCTATGCTTAATTCATACTAGTCTCACTTGTCCCCTGACAGTAGGACTGTGTTGGTAGAATTGTATCATTGGAATTAAGTCCCTCATACGCATCGAGAAGTTGGCGAAGCTATGGGCTTGCATAGTGACCCCGTACGTATCATTCGCTAGTCTTGGATGTTGTTTGGAGCAAAGCGACTCCGCGTGAGGGCATGAGCGCTAGCGGGGGTTAGGCGAGATGCGCCTTCTCTTGTAGTATCAGCCGAAGCTGCTCCTCTATTGAGGGTGGCCTCGGGCGGCGATGGTATAGTGGCGTTGGGTGCCATCGGGGTGTGTGCAGAGCTCGCCGAGGGTACCTCTGGTCTTGATGCTATATTATTTTGTGGGTTCATCGTGTGTGTTCGCGCAGGGTGCGGGAAGAAAGTTGTGATGATGAATGATGAAGAGAGGAAAAGAAAACAGATGACGGGTGCTTCCATCTTTAGTTATTGTAAGTTAATGTTGTTTAGGTGATAGTAGAGTTATGTCGGTGAAGTTGTATTCGTAATGTAGGTAGGTATGGGTAGGTAGGGTTGCGTTGATAAATTATTGCAAGTTAATGTTATTCAGATAATTGTTATGGTAAGGATATATTGTAGAAGTATGTAATCTCAGGAAGTTTGAAATAGTAGGTTATGTGGATGAGGAAAAGAAGAAGAGAAGGGGGAAAAGTTGTAGGAGGGGGCATGCTTATATACAAATAATTGAGAGGGAATTCGTGAGAATCAGATTGCCATCTGAGGGTCGTTGCCCAAGGAGTTACAACTTTTCAGTTTGCACCTACTCCTTTAGCCACTGCTCTTGCCGGATGACGGGGCAATAACGGAGCAACAACACCGCAACTGCTGTTACTTCCTTCCAAGTTTGCTTCCGGTTACAAAAATTAAAGGCAAGAACGGAAAGAATTACGGAAACAGGCTGTCACTTCCTTCTATACTTCTATATCTACTACGAGCTTTCTCGTTGTTGTCTTACTACCAAGTAATAGAGAGATATCTGAAGAGGCACTTTTGAAAATAACCCTACCTGGGCTACCGCGGTACACTCTTTGAATTTCTTTCTCTTCCAAATTATTTTGAAAATCTTTTCGTCTCTCAACCATCTTCTCACATTCCACCCTCACACCATCACACTTCGCCTACTCAGACGTAATGAGCCAGCGATTTCTGCCACCAGGGGCACCGCCCCAATATGATGAACATTCCGACTTCGACATGGACTATTACATCGAAGATAATGTCGAAGAGCCCCTTAGCGGATATGACGACCCAGACTACATAGAGGCACTTGACAGATGGATATGTTCCAACATGAACCAGTGCTGTGCATATTGCCAGACAGTCCGCTGCGAAACGTTCCGCGCAGCAATTAAAGAGTTCGATCATATTTACACGAACCAAAAGCTGCAAGACATGTTTACAGATGCAGACGCGATTACAGCTAGGGATGTCTCCGACATTCATACCCTAAACCGCATAGTTAACAAATACGTTTACAACAAACACTGTAAGTTTCCACACAGTTTGTTGTTATGCTTGTTCTCTATCAGCTAATCAAATGTTCAATGTAGTTTCAGATCTTAACGATTTCGACCTGAGATGGCCTGCGCAGACGCATTATGCAGGTCTATCTGCGCCGATGAGATCCGCACAGCCACGCGTACAGGCTCAGCAGCAGAATGCGGCCTACACAACTGAGGTGTCAACGACCAGCGCCTGGCCTCAGCAGCAGCAGCAACAGTACGTGGCCGTGGACGTGGCCGTGAATCTTCTCTCGCCGCCTCGCAGGCGTCGGGCTACAGCAAATATTCTTGTAACACGTCTTCGTACAATGAGCCCTTACCAGCGCTCGCCCCACAGGCTCTTCGAGCTATTCCTTCTCCGGGTGTTCAAGGTCTCCAGAAGTTTCAGGCTGCCCCGGCTTTTCAGGCCCCTCAAGCCTCTCCGGCTCCTCAGGTCCCTCAGGTCTCTCAGGCTCCTCAAAGCTTAGGTAACGCGCCTGCACAGTCAATGCCGAGATGAGAGCAACCTGCAAGGTTACAGCCACCTAACGTCCCAAGTACCGCAAGCATGCAATATGCTAAGGTGGCCGCGTCGGCACCGCGATCTCTGCCAGCTCCAGCATTACCTAGACAAGGTACACAAGTCCTAGCAGCGCAGAAGCCTCGAAATCAACCTGCTAAACAGGCAGCCGGCAGCACGACGGAGATATCTGCTTCCGGGTCTCATTCTCAGAGCACCCCGGCAAGCCTAGTTCAACGACTACTCGTTTGGGATGCCACCCGAGGAGAGGATGCCGAACCCTTCCCGAGCTGCGAGCCATACGTTATTCGGCTACCTACTTCTGATTTCGACTGAGAGAAATGCTTCGGCTCACAAGAGGACGTGACGCGAGCGGTGCATAAGGTTTACAGCGGAATTCAACCTTTCGTACGATCGGCGCAGGGGGCTCCTCACGGTATTGAGATCGTGCTTGGAATAGGCAACCCTAGCGACTGGGAAGACCCATGTGCTCGTTACTGCCTGAATGAAACATTCAACATGATGATGAGATATTGCGCGAGCCTAGTTAACCAGAATCGCAATATTTGGTACATGGAGAACCAGGCCAATCAGTGTATCTGGTCTTTGAAACACGCCTACAAGAAGGACACGAAAAGCGAGGTAGGCGTGACAAAGAGAGCTATCGAATAACAGATAATAGAGATAGAAAACATCTAATGAACCCAGGGCACAATGTCTGGTGGGGGCATTCTAAACAGGACACGAAGAATGGTTCGAAGATCAGGGAGTACATCAAGTGCAAGCACAATGGAGAGAACATTAAAGAGTTGAGCGGTTATAGTTCGCCTTTCATAGACCTCATAGGTAGTAGGAAAATCAATCGAGACAGACAGACCAATAGTCGTGAATGTCATAAAATTGTTTTAATTTCGTAGGGGCCCTGATTATCACGAGGATTGTAAGTCTTGATGTAAACGTACCTAGGTTAGGTATATATCAGATACTTTGAAAGTCGTCTCTTTGTACACGTGAAAGAAAGCATCACGTGATTGATGCCTTATGCATTTTATGAAACGTTTATGTTCTTTTAATGCGCTGCGCCAAGCTTTCACATCTTTATCCCTACATATCGAAATACAATGCTCAACTGAAATATCCACTTCCATATTTATGTCAAATTCGGGCTGTATCCCATAGCCTCGCCCGTCTATAGCACTACTCTACCAAACTACCACCCGCCCTGGGAAACCGGCTTTGACTAGAGAAATGCCGGTACCGGACCTGGTTTGCCCCAGTGGAATTCGATCCCACGTATAACAAGAGAAAATATTCAATCATCATGGCGTGACTCCGTGAGTCATGAACTTTAGGGTCTATGGAGGTTAATCGATTTCGGAACGAGGGATCGTGGCTCCTAAGAAATCTTCAATGGCTCCAAAAAAACATGCTAGAAGCTATGGAAAACTAACATACCACTCTCGAAGGTTCTAGGGGTGGTGGGGAAGGTGTAAGTAATTGGAATTTAGAGCATAAATATACTGTGAAAGGTTATGGAAAACTTCGATCAAGCAGAAAAAATCTATACGAATCCGAGTGGACTATTTTGGGGCTGGAGGGATCCCCGGAGGCAACTCTTAGGATGAAGATTGAAAATTTTAAAAGATTTAATGCTGCGACTAAAGGAAAGAATCATGTATATTTTCATTGCTTCGTGTTCCATATCTTGGTATGCCTCGAGCGCAGAACCTGCAGACGGATTTACCGAAAAAGACGGTCAAGGTCTCGTTGCGGTCCCAGCCTTTGTCGATGTAAGAGCCATGATCGGGATCAAAGCACACGATCGGTCTCTTCAATCTGTCTTGGACAGGCTCCGGTATTCGAGAAGAAGAGCTAGGGATTTGAAGTAAGATAGAAAATTCGCAAGGACTTGTCTAAAGGGATAGTATTGGAGGAGCAAGAGTTTTTCGAGGATGGGGGAACCAGCAGAAGAATTCCAAAGCCCCCTGATATCTCCCAGAGTGTAAGCCTTTCGTTTAGTTTACCTACGGGGACTTCAATACCACCATTTTGTAACCTGAATCAACGTCTCCAAGATCTTATCAGGGACTGTAGTTATCAAATGTATCTAAATCATTCTTAACGGCCGGAAATTCGACAGACTTCCGAATTCGCAATTGCGGATATACCTAACATCTAGAAGTTCCATCGTAAAATATTCAGAACCATATCTATTTACGCGAGTCTTTCTACAGTCCGTTACGGTATACGCCCCTAGTTGACCTTGCTGCTACGTACCTGGTATTGTACCATGAATGATATACGTGAAACTAAAAGGTAACAGAACTGCAATCTATAGATAGTCAGCAGTTTACTTGGCCCCATGCGATACGCGCGTTCAAGAGGCAATGTAAATTCCCACATGATATGTTAGTAGGACGCGACCACATTAGAACCAACGAGGCCGCATGGGAAGCCTGAGGAAGGTGGCGTCGTGTGAGGCAGACGCGCAACTCCGGATGGTTCAAAGCCTACATTAGCAAGCTCTTCTAGACCGCATCCTATTTCTTAGAAGACGCGCCGATGGCGATTTTTAAAGCGAGAGCAGTACCTATTCGTATGAAGGCTCTTGTACTAGAACATTGCCACTCGTAGTTATCAACTAGGCATATATAAACCCTCCACACTACGTGCTTACCTTCCATCGGGCTATGTCATACAGATCCTTCTTGTGCATTTCTAAACTTTTGGCGCATGTGGCGATCGGAGCTCGGGTCCGTGTAGGCAGCAGGAAACAGCAAAGGGTCATTTCGATGATGCTTCGAAAGGAAGACGTATGCGACCATTGGGCTGTAAGGAATAAGCTTACACCGCTTAGGATAAAATGAAGCAGAGCAAATCTAGCAAGTTATGAGAGCTAGTAATCTGCTCCTTTACGCACCTACTAATTCTATGGCATCGTATTACTCTGGGGATGTTTCCGTTGATTGCAACTCTGCCGGCTTATATTCTCTCGCAGGTAACACGACCCCAACCTGAGGCACCAAGCTGCGAGAGCACGCAGTAAGCGAGTTGACGTAGCCTCGGCTGCCCCTCTTGGAATCGCCGGTAGTTGGGAGCAGTTCGTCCAACGCTTATTTATGCCCTAGTCAGCCTTCACGACCTACACGTCACCATAGAAAACACCAATAGAGCTTTTTCGGTCGGCTATTTGCTAAACTAGGCGGCTCCGGGGATTGGAGATAGACGGCTTTCAGTGCGTCGTGTTTGAATGGCTATAGTGACCAGTCATGTCGTAACTGCAAAACACTTTGATAGTGGGATGAGAGAAGATCCCGTGAACTGATTCATCTCTCAAATGCCTGGTTGTAAGTAGTACCTCTGAGATCTATACGGTAGCAATTATCCGATGATCTTGATGGTATATACGGGTTTTCACGACATCGTGTTTCGAAAATCGATAAGCCGGTATAAATAAAGCAGATAACATGATGGCAGCTATATCGATCGAGCGGACATCGTAGGGTTATGTAAAAATTGAAAGTTGTCGACCTGGAAAGATTAGCGTATCCAGAGGGAATCCGTTACGTGGGAGCAAGTTGAGCTTCGGTTACGATGTCACGAAACTATTAATAAAGAATCAAACGGGTGAAATGAAACCCGGGTCTGGGGAACGTAAGCGTAGCGGGGGATGGTGCCAAGACTCGCAAAGCCAGGCGCCCGGGATTTAAAGATGTGCTTCATACCCGATTCCCGCGCGGGATGATCGAGATCACTGCTCCACTTAGATAGAACGAAGCTGGTTTTATGCATATCTTGCGTCGCGGGTTCTATACGAGGAGGTAGATATGAAGATGATATCCAGATCTCTCTGGCCCTGGGGTAAAGGTGCGATTCTGCGAATAGCATCGATGTCCGGGATTAAATTAGGCTTAAGGAGCCGAAAGCCGGGACCGACAACGACCCCAGCCGGAATTTCTAGATCAGCACCGGAACCGCACCCATTCCAGTCGCCAGGTACGGCACACCTATATTTTGATATTGGCACCCTGTTCGTATAGGCAACCTATAGGATAGCGAAAGAATGAAACACAGGTGCGGCGGTCAGTTGCTAGAGAATTGGGACCGTCAATATCAAAGCAATTAAAGACAGCGAGGCTGATACAAATGCCCAGGTCTTGGCTGAAACGTTCCGAGGGGAGCGGTCACGGCTGCATACGATCGACGAGCCTCTTGTACGACTCGGGCTGGTGGCACAAAGACGTAAAGTTGTTAAGCCAGGTTATTAAACAGAAGAGACCTTGTTTAACTCAACAGTTGGTATGTGACTACTACGACATGTAGCGAGTTGGGGTATACATGTTACACGATGACCTGTGATAGGCGGTTGTTGAGAGGGGTTAACTCGGCAGTAGACGGGCTGCTTACATAGGTCCAGGGAGAGGATGCCTGTTGAAAGGGAAACTTCTTAGATTGAGAAGGTAAGGGGAAGGAATAAAGATAAAGACTCACCGTCGAGACTGCCAGCTGCCAAACGCTCTACTGCGGTCGATAGATATACTCTCAGCTGCGCGCATAAAAAATAGGAGGCATGGTAAATGTACCTTACGCAAGGTCGAGTTCCACCTGGGAACCGCGGCTGGGCGAATTCTACGTCTTACGAGGTTTGTGTAACGCGAAGCGAGAGGTAACTAATAAGTCAGCATGGTGAGAGAAGGTGATAGGAGCGGACATTTCGGCTATGTCGTCGGATCCGACGTGACAAAAAGGCCCGGCATGAGGTTGTTGCCACTGTGTGCAACCATCACGTAGCGCCTAACATCCGCCTGCGCAAGTCGTTCGGCACTAGATCCCCTTCCAGGATCCTTCGGTTGAAAATAGAAGCTACATGCACCTAGCTCGCGGATTCGCGCCTACGGCTCCCGACGAGATGTGCTATAACTAGGCAGAGCACCAAGTCTTTCTAAACGCCATCGGGACCGGAGGCTAACGTCCCTCGTTACACACGCCGGTATATGTATAGTCCTTTGAATTCCGCCTAGTTATTGAATTCAGCTATGGTACCGCCCAGAAGCCCCCGAGGGCAGAGCATTGGTTAATAGAAGTGTGGCTTGCTCCTGATGTACGCTTGGGTGTCATATCAGGCATATCCCAAAAAGATGATGTGGAAATAATATTGGCTGGCGTACGACTTATCATTCGTATGATATCCTCTAGGGTGTCTCGCAAACTAGCTGAGTAGGCTAAACCCGTGATAAACCGCCCCCGCGTAAGCTCTAAGGATGACTACGATTGCCGGCTATTCTTCAACATGGAAGATGAACGCTTTCGTAGGTGGCTTAACTCTGCTCATGTGA